ATCATGAAAATGGTCAGGGCTATTTGGCTTTGAGTCGACAGAAAACTTTTGCTGTCGATGCGTGAATATGACATCTTTGGACGGCGAATGTTGTGTTTCCTTACAACTAGGAAAATGTTGATGTAACAGAATCCCATGATACATAGCGGCATAAGGAAGGCGACCACAAGAACCACCAATGAGTAAATGGTTTGACCAACATTAGATGAGATTTGAACTCCACACTGAGTTGACCCTAAGGAATGAAGAAAATTGTTAAAACTGTTTGCAGCTTTTCTTTTGGTTCATAGGCTTTTATGCCGAGCTTGTGTTACTCCATAACCCTGCCAACTTTTCGCCCGATAGTTAATCGATTAATGATTAATAACGGTAATTGAAATGAGTGGAGTGCAATTTGGGCTGAAATCATACGCGTGATTTGTAATCACAAGTATGATTTCAGACCAAAATTGCACGACACGAGGTTCAGTTACAGTTATTAATCATTAATCGATTAACTATCGGGCTATTGCATCCATTTTGAAATCGCCCAAATATAGGACTTGGTCAGTTCAAATATTTTATTAATGCAGTACTGAGCCGGTTTGAAATTAAATTCATCTTTTTTTTTAAGGGGGGGGGGGGGAATAGGAGTTTCGGAAACAAAAGTTGCAAAATTTGCCGTATGATACTCTTTGTCTTTCATTTTCCTGCAATTTGATCGGTTACTTTGAACAAGCCTTGAAATCTGATTGGTTGTTTTGTTTTTAGTGTAGCCTCTTCATTGGCTGGGAAAAAGATGCGTTTAAAGCAAAAAATGGTACGATTCGTGAATAAATCGCACCAATCAGAGCCAATCAGATTACAGGGACCACCAGTGATTTCAAAATGGGTGTAATAAATCTGTTAATAAAAATTTATCACCTCAATAAACATTCATACTTGCGACATTTCAGCATGCTCATTTGGGCTGAAAACACCTCACTAAATTAAATCTCGAATAGTCTAAGAAGGTAAATTTCTATGTATGTTATTGAAAAGTAATCAAATCAAATTTCTTGGGAAATTTTGGAATACTTAATCACTTGTAATTTTTACCCCAAACTGCGCTAATAATTGACTTCTAAAACTTGTTGCTCGTTTTTTCAAAAATTATCCATAATGGAAAAAAATTTTTTACTTACCCGGCTTAAATTCAAACGCAATGAATCCTGTCAACGGTAAGGTTGCAAGCCCAAGTGCTGTAAACCACGTCATGGCAACTATGGTGACTGTCACCTTTTTTGTTATGACAACCCTCATAGGCTTGACGATGGAAAAGTATTTCTCGATGCTTATCGAAGTAAGCGTAAACAACGATGAAGCCTCAAACAGAATATTCACAAATCCATTTAGATGGCATATACTGTCACCAAATATCCAGTCTCGTGTATAGCACGTGATGATTGAAAATGGCATACAAAATAAAGCGACTCCCAGGTCTGCGCATGCCTGGTTTAAGATGAACATGTTTGTGCATGTACGCAGTTTACGAGTGCGGCATATTGTGATGATAAGGGTCATGTTACCAGATATGGCGAGCAGCATTATGAGCCCCAGAACAGGTGCAAGTACCAAGTATTCGGTATCAGGTTCCTCGTACACCTCGCCATTTGAAATCGAGGAATTTTGTAGTTGGCTAAAATTTAAATCCGCCATGGTTGCGAAGCCTGCAATAGAAGAGAAACAATTTTAATTTTCAATCGGATTTGAAGGAAAAGTTCCTTAAACCGATATTAATTATTTATATTCCCTCCGACTGAATACCCATACGACGTTCTCAACGAGCAAGCGTTGATTGCCAAAAAATAAATTTGGAATTAAATTCATCCATTTATAACATTTTGAGCATTGTCAGATATTAATAATAAGGATTTGTGCCAGCAGATCAAATACACTTGAAGAGAAAACCAGCCTCTCCGCTTGCTCTGAGCGGTGAGTCCGTTACAGACCGTCACTAGTAAATAATGAACGTACATACTTGAATCGACAACTTACCGTTCACGAAACACTGAATTTCCAGCTGCAAAAAGCAGTTCAGTTTAAAAGAGCAGGATATCTCTTCAATCGAAAAACTGAGGTGTATTCTTTCAACAATCACGGATACGCAAAAGTCACCTATACATGGATTGAACGATGTAAGTGACTATACTCCCTGCTATACTGTAAGACAACTGAGAGGTGATCTAAAAACAGTAATATTTGTAACTAGAAATGAAAATGAAAATGTTATCATACTAAATATGAGACATTTCCCTAAATATTACGACCACTTCTGATCACTCGCATTTGTCAAACTGAAATTGAAAATGGGAAATAGTTGTTTTTTTTTTATCATACAACTTGTCAACATGCGAGAAAGGGAGACTTTAATTTGGTCGTTTAAAAGTCCCGTGAAAGTAAGATGCTATTTTAAAACTGCTTACTTTAGCGGGGAAACAGTATCCCAGAAGAAAACCAAAACGTGAATCGGCAAGGCCAGAGAAGTAAAGCCACATGGTTCACTTGGGTTTATCTTCCTTATCGTTCTTTCATTTTAAGCGATCTATATTAATCGATGCAAAAATGCTTCCAATACGTTCCAAGTATCGCACCAAACAGTGCCAGTCTTAGACACGAAGGTTTCTTTCAGGAAGAGCTGGAATTCAAATTGATGTTTGACATCAAGCATTTTTGGTCATGCGGGAGAAATCTTAGACTCTTCTCTAAACAAAGTAAATGCTGATTCAGTGAACACTGATTCGAAACTTTTTAACTTTCGGTACAATCAGCACATTCCGATCAAAGTTTTTTTAATTCCCAGATTAAAAACGCGACTGAGATCGAATGACGACCGCGTCTTAATAACCTGTTTATAGAACAGGAAAAAGAAGCCTGGGCATGCCCACATTTACTTACGAATGGCTTTGATTCAAAGCTTTCCAATGGTATTTTCTGTATTTTGAAACTGGTTCCTTGTTACTCAATTTCGAGTCTAAGAAAAAATTCCTTACCTTGAAGCTCTTAACACAGTCAAATGTACTTGTGTAGACCTCATAGTTTACAGACGTCTTGCCATTATGTTCAGCTGACAACTGAGAGTTGAGAAGCATTTTAAATAAACAACTTCTTCACGAATAGTTAACAGTTCAGCAGTAAGTCGGATGAGCACCCTAATTCGCTCTGAGGCGCCTTTGTGCCGGGGTTTAATTAATTTGAGGAACAATGGTTACTGACATATCCTAGCCAGCTTTTGCTTAAACTCTGTCTTTAAATAATGGTTTGTTTGCTTTTCCTGAACAAACTGAGCTCCAATAGCGAACAATACTTCTTCAAGGTATGAACCAACCTGTCAAATCATCCATTTTGAAAGATCATGCGCCTAGGTGAGAAAACCAAACATGCTCTTTCAGCTCAGGAAGTTTTTCCGCTTAAGAGTAGTAGTCCGCTGAATGAAGCCGAACTTTCTAAAGAAAAATTATCTCGAGACTTTTGAAGCCGAATTTTGCATGACACTTAAACTGTATGTCTGTAAAAGAAAAATCTGCTCTTCAGTTTGAGTCCGAAATCAAGTTAGACAATGAAGTTACATTCGACTTAACTTTATAATGAATTCTTTACATTAAATGAAAAAAAAAAAAAAAAAAAAAAAAAGGTCAGTAAGAGTCACATGCTTGAAATGAACTGATGAAAACGAACTGTTTAATAAATATGATTTGATTGTCATTAAAAATTTTGAGTCGCATTTTTCATGATATGATGAAAAACCTATAGGCAAAAATGACTGTCTTCGGCTTTTTTTTATCAGTAGATGTTGAAGGGAAAAAAAGATTTGTACACCTGCCGTTTAGACTTGAATTTCGTCAGTAATCAAAGCCGCCTTACACATGAAGTTTATAAGAACGGCTTGAATTGATTCGTAGAAAAATCTGACGAACAAGTCTAAGGTACCTGGCGATTCAAAATGCTGAGTCAAAGTCGTGAAACTTACCTTCAGCTGTTTGTTTTGAAATTCTACTACCACTCTGCGAAATTAGTTACGGTCGGATTCTAGCACACGTTTTTAAAAATGTGATCTTCATTACTACCTCATCACAAAATTTTCACATGACTGACGAGTTGCATGATATGGATGAAGAAATTCTCGCGTCAAGTTTGAATGACTAAAGTTCATCTAATGACCTATGCGTGTTTATATTTGTGAGATGAGAAAACTCGACAAACATTGTTTTGATCTTCGCTCACGTTATTTTATGCGAAAATTTTCACCTGTATCGCGGCGTTCTTACTGACATATATAAATCTCTACTTTGGTTCTTATGATCGAAAGACACTTTTCAGAATTAGGAAGATGCAGCTTGATGTTTTACGATAGCAATTCACCCCGATGTTTATTTTGAGGGTCTCAGTGGAATTACGACGTATGTTACGGCTAAAATTAACGGTTAAAATTTTGGCTGTTTGACGGCTAAAGGTTAACCCTCTTTCTTTGGTCAGTAAAATAAAAACATTTTACGGTTAACTTTTTTTTTGTGACTTACGGTTGAAATTTGTCAAATTTTTTTCGCCTAACGGCTCAAATTTTTTAGTCCGTTTTACGGCTAACGGTTAACCTCTTTGAGACCTTCTTATTGTGGGTGTCTCGTATCCATCTAACTATCATTCGACTTCATTCGACCTTTCATGTTTTCATTTTGGTTTTTAATTGTAACAAAGCCTGTTGGTACATCAAATTAAGGTCGAAATCTCTGAAAGCTTAATAAATTCCGGAAAAGCAGAAATTATTAGGAGTCGCACAGACAAGAGCGTTTTTTCTTTTCTCTCTTTTTTCACCATGCGCAGTTTTATGAACAAAAACGACGTGCGAATTGTAGTGAGATGCATACAATTAATGCAAGGCAAGCAGTGAATTTCATTTCAAATGCAAATCCATTTTTTACTTCTTAAATCTTCGTGACATGAGCACAAAGTGAGTGCGGTCCTCGACTGCTCGTCAACGGAGAATGAATTTCAACGCAGTAAACGCGTTCAGCATCGTTTTCGCCGCTATAATTTTCTCGTTGTTTACCTTTGCTGTATTCCTTGCAGCTTCAACTATATGCTATGCAGTCTACAAGGACAAACACTTACAAGTACCTACTGCCGTGCCGGTGATAAATCTTTGCTTTGCTGGTTTGCTTCTTGAATTTGTTTCAGGAGTGTTCACGTTAGTATTCGATGTATTACAGATTAACAGTACTACAGAGCTTGGACACGGCGTGAAGAGTTTTATTGAAGAATTTGCAATCAGCGTTTATTTTCAGGCACTGTTTCTAATAAGTATAACAAGATACAGTTTGGTGTTGTATGGACGAAAGCTTGCCCGAATGACTATTAAACAAACTACATGTTGCATCACTTTTTCATGGATTATCTCTACTGTTTACGCGAGCCTTGTGGCATTTTTTCAGCAAGAGTCGAGCGCAGATGTGACCAAATACTCTAGAGGAGTGGCTGCGGCACAATTTGCATTTCTTGCATTTTTACATTTCGGAACTTTGTGCATGTACGCTAACTTAGTCATCTATTTTCACCAGAAAACGGATAACTTACCACCCGATTTTTACAGCTTAGACTCGAGCAGAAGGCGAGTAGCAGAAAGAAATATTCGCGTATCGGCCAAAAACATTCAAATGATAACTTTAATGGTTCTAACATTGTGCTCATGTCACCTGCCTTATCTTGGATGCATTACGACAGCGATGTTTACTGGGCAGCTGTCACACGATGCAAAAGTATGTGCTGTAGTTTTGATGCAGTGCGGGATTTTGGTTAACTTCGTTATCTATGGCTATCTGAATAAGAGGTTAAAACGAGTTATTCGACCATTGTTGCATCGCATAGTGGACAAAATCACCCACAAGAGAAGACGACGTCAAATCAACGAACTACTACCGATGAACAATCTTTCTTACACTGGATCTAGCTTAAACATTTCCCGCAGTGATAGCTACGAATTGACTCGCAGCAAACTCGCACTTTTCAACCGATGATTCGTATCACTGTTCCCATAACAACTCAACTGTCCAGGTCAAGTTTCGCATTATCTCGTTCCCAGGTTTCGCCGATCATTTCAATGGGGCAGTCCTGAAAACCATTAACGACATATTGTACCCGTAGATTTACGCAGGAAATTTTAGAGGAACCAATAGATTTCTTAATGTGTTTTATTGATATTTCGTAAATAAAGATTTTAACAGAAGCTTAATAATTGTAGTAATTTACAACTGCAAGAATTGAGGCCATTTACTCCCAGAACAGGGTGCTACAGTCGTCAAGATAATATGACGCAAAAAGGAAAACCATGACCCAGTCTCCTACGCTATCAGAGCCTAGTTATCAGCCTCTTCGCTTCCCTCACAATCTCAAATAACCCACCTGAGAGAAAATGTGATTGCAAAACGAAACAGTGACTACAATTTAGTGACAAATGAGTAAATATTAGCTAAAATGACACCTAGTTCATATTAGACATGGTTATGTTGGCTTTTAAAGCCCCAAAGTTATAACTTCTCCGAAACCTAACCAACTATTGTAGAAATAACACCGATTGCGTAAGGAAAAATAGAATATAAATGGTATATTTTAATAACACGACTCATCTGGAATACACTATGAATTCAGTACTATTACTAAATGACACAATATTACATTCAAACCTGTTACCTTCAAGTTCCGTCAGACGATGCAATGGGAAGCTTATAATAATTCGATCAACCCTTCCATAAGAGGGTGTGAATGTCATACGATTGACTGTTGTACCCGGCGCACCGAGAAATATTGACCCTAAGTCACGCAATGCAAAATAATACTAGATCTACATCTGTCACGCTGTCTTGACATCACAATCCTAGTCTTTCGTCTTTTTCGGTGAAACTGTTACGTACTGCCGGTGCACAAGCCTAAATAAGCCTCTAGTCTAGGTGTATTTTTTTACACAGTTTGTCGAGTTAACACACATCTTGGTGTCTCCTGATGGGTTGTAAATTCCCAGCCTTTCGCGTGGAGTCAAGACTCGTTACTCCTTTCTTTAACGAGGAATTAGAGGATCCTTTCGAAAAACCCTCATCGTACGAAAATAATTCTGAAAAAAAGTAAAAAAAGGGATTTATTATTTTGAAGAAAAGCTAAACAAGGAACAAAAGGAATACACCGGTAATTTTCCCCTGACTGATTGGCAGCCTAAATATCCAGATGGATGATTGTATGACCAACTGACGCGCTGGATCAAGCGACCAAATGAATCAAGCGACCAAATGAATCACCACTTCCCCCCTGACTCACAGGATGAGCACCTGTCTGACTCACTGTCTGCTGATAGTTTGGCTGGCTGATTGATAATTTGACCCGCTGAAACCAACTGACTGACTAAATGCGATCGACTAAACCGATTGACTGTCGGACAGCCGAACGATGAACTAATTGCACAAGAACAAACAAAGCGAATCTTACCTTCCGATCTACTCGCCGATAAGGACTGGGAACCAAGACCGGAATCAAACCCTGAGTCTTGCCGCCCATGCCCATCGAGTATCTCAAGTACGTCTCCTCTACGCATGTCATAAAGAACCTGCCGTAAAGTCTTGATGTTGCCATCAGCAGCCTAAGTGGAGAAAAAAAAGTCATTCATCTTCAATTTGCCTCTATTAATTATCGTGAACTTAAGTGATCATGCGCCAAAACTCCATCTCACTCCCTTTTCAGATTTAATCTTTATTGCCATAGTTTTTCCAGGACTTGAAAATCAGTTTGCAAATGTCCTTCCTTTTTCAAGACTCTGCGTAAGCACTCGTGAAGTAACAATTGAAATTCTCTTATTCTGAAACAAGCCTCTCTTCCCTAATCGTATGCTCACCTCGTATTGAGCCAACACCTGTGTTGTTGGACTTGAATGAATTGCGAACGCATTCTCCAATGTCCCTAGTCCCAGTCTCCTTCCCAATTCACGCCAGTCCGCTCCACCTCCAGTGGTGGGATCCAACTTTTGGGCCATTATTCTTCTGACGTAAGGATCCAGTTTATCCATATCACCTAGTGAAGGGTTAAACATTCAAAATAAGATGTTTGTGGGGCAAATTGTAAACATTAACTTTGAATTTGCTCACTTTGCCCGTAACCCTCAAATAAACAAAATAGAGAAATTAAGAAGAATTTCTTGATCACAGCATTTCCACTATAAATGAAAGTCGCAAAACCTGATGTTTTCAGAATATACCATAAAATCTTACCTTGACCAAGCGCAAGGCCAGTTAATCCACTCGCTAAATCTAGAAGAAAGGAAAAAGAGTTTTATTAGATGACCTCACCATTAAGGCGCGTAATTTTTATACAAGGCGGGGACTTGTCGAGGAAAATCTGCCTTTGCAATGCCTCCACCTTGCGTCTACAACGCGTCTGCACTGTGTCAGCGCAGCCACAGAAAACTTTCTCGTGTACCTTCGTCTGCATTTTAACCAATGCAAGATTTAAAGAAAAAAACTCACCATCGTCTTGGGAAGGATCCGTGCTCAGTATTTCATCTTCATCCAGGATTTCCTGAACCTAGAAGGACACAAAACGTTCAGGCATTCATGTGAGCTCGGCATCAGTAGGAAGGGCAGGTAAGTGAAGCTCCACGGCGAATTTTGAAAAGCGGCGACTTTTTCGAGCGCTAGCCCTTTGTTGAAGCGTTTAACTTTCCTTACACTCCTACGAGGAGCTAATGAATAACATGTCGGCCTTTCAAATTTTGCTACGGCTGTTTATTCCTCTTTATTTACTTCTGATTGATAATGAGTGTCAATTGCCCTCCGAAGCCTAATTAGAGCTCTTTTCTTTGCTAATTTCTTATGTCTTATAGGAGCCTCCTCCTTTTAGGATTCGCTGACAAGACAGAAACTTTCTTACTTCTTGCAAGGGTCAGTGTTTCTTCAACTTTACGGCACTCCGTGAAAAAGCAAAACAAAGGTAAGACTCGGGGCGAAAGAGCTATTGGGCGAAGTGAGCCGCTTCCTGAGAAACTTACCTCAGCTACATTTGCCAAGTCAAAAGGTATTTCATCATCGCTGTTCTGTACTGTTGTATCGGCCCCTGCCGCAACTAAAAGCGCGGTCTGGCCCTTGAGCCCACTGGCTGCAGCAACGTGCAGTGGTGTGTTTCCATCGAGAGTGATTGCGTCCACATCACAGTTCGCCTAGTGAGAAGATAAGACATTTATTTATAAATTAATTCAATAAACATCTATAACAATCCATACCACCAAAAGTGTTTATGGTAAACAAAAGGAGTCAAAAGCCTCATGTAGGGAAAACTAGGCTCAATGACGTAAAACCAAAACCAAAGCCAATCAAAAAGGTAATTTTCTTAAAAAAAAAAAAAAACCAATCAAAGTCATAGTAAATAGATTTCCACGACCTGAAGAGTGAGGACGTCGTGACGGGCTTTTCCTTTGTATCTGATTGACTGAAAGGGTGGGGAAAGTTTTTTAGACCAATCAGAGAGCGCAGTGAAGTGAAACTAATAAAGGGGGTAAGTTTCTAAAGAAACTGTGGTGCTGCGTCGGTGAGGGAGCATAGCCGGTAATTTAGTGTTAACAACTGAGTTGAAAACGTAAATTGACCACCGTAAAAAGAGTAAAAAAGCTGACGTTTCGAGCGTTAGCCCTTCGCCATCGCTCTGACGAAGGGCTGACGCTCGAAACGCCAGCTTTTCTACTCTTTACGGTGGCCAATTTACGTTTTCAACCCAGTTTTTAACACTAAATTACTTGAAGTGAAACTAACATGTTCACCGCAGATCCTGGATGTTTTTCCCCACATTCGATTGAAAAAGCTTTAAGAAGCTTTGGACCATGTACTCGTGACTGTGCCCTTCCCGTACATTGTGGCTCACTTCTTGTGGAAGAAAGTCTATTTAATAGTTTACCTCAAGAATGAGAAATCCAGCGACGGCCAGATTGTCCTGTTCAACTGCATGATGAAGTGGTGTCTTACCACTAGTGCCATCCTAAACAACGACAAAACATAATATCACTAAGATCAGAATGGATAACTACTTATGTTCACAAACAAAAAACTTGCCCTTTTCACGGACTAAAAGACAGATGCCACCTTTCTCACAAAGATTGAAATCCCTGAACAACAAATATTATTAACTCTCGATTTCATCTGAAATTTTCTTGTGCTTGATTTTGGAAATAAGTTGTTCAACCCTTTAACCTCTGAGAGTGATTAGCATCTAATTTCTCCTTAGAAAATCCCCCCCCCCCTCAATGAAACATTAAGGTCACGAGAATCAAAGGAATGATCACCAACTAAAGAAGCTATTGATTGTTAAACAAATTCTCCTTGTTAGCACCTTTGGAAACCTATACAGAACAGTCTGGAGAATATTCATACTAATGCTCGGGTGTAAAGGGTTAACACAAGAATGTTGAAAGTAATAAAATACCTGAGCGCTCATGTTGGCTCCCGCAGAATTCAGCAGTTTAAGGACATCTTTACTGCCCGCTAGCACTGCCAGATGCACTGGCGTTAGTCCTGTAAACAGATTTACTCATTAGTAACTTAAATGTAATCCCATACTAACCTACTCTGGTTCTGGGGATTATCTCATTCAACAAAGAGGATGCAAATCGGGTATTCAAAACAGAACCAACATTAAGGAGCTGCTTCTCTCAACGTCTTGCAATAATCCTCAGGTGCGCATGATTTTATTGTTCAATTCTCACCTTGGTAATTCTGCCAGTTAAGAACAGTTTTTGTCACATTGAAGTTCAACATTGCTTTCAGACACATAGCATCTCCGTGCATGCATGCAATGTGCACAGCAGTGTTTCCATGACGGTCACGTGATCTAGCATTTGCTCTGGCTCTTAGCAGACATTCCAGCATGCGAGGTTGCTTTGTGATAGCGGCGAGATGAAGAGGTGTCTGTGGAAAAAGAACAAGCAGAGATCTCAGAAAGGTCACTTCATGCAACCTAGAAAATAAAGCTTACAGCAATTAAAACAATTCTTCGAGAAGGACGTAACAAAGGAGAGGAAAGACACTGGTGAGTGCAACGCACTGATATGGAAAGATAAGGGCATCATATCTAACCACGGAGCTCAAAAGGAGGATATTTGCAGTAGTCATGGACAACAAGAATATTCTTATATCATCCCCTGATAGGGTTGTGAGACCAAGTTGTTTTCCATAACTCTAAAATGATGTCAGTTGGAAAGACTACTAGGCTGGAGATAGATGATTCAAAAGATTAAGAGCTTCAGGATGAAACAATGACTCACTTGTCTTAGGAAATTGTATTCACTGACAAATGACTCTGGCAGGCTAGCCATGATATCTAACAGACTCTGGACTACTTCTTGCCGAGCGTTCAAAACAGCAAGGTGAAGAGCTCTGTAACAAGAGGACAAAAAAGCCAAGTTTCAGTTTAGAAGCTTGAAATGAACTGATGATGCTCAGAACTTACTGTCACTATTTCCCAGAGCCTTCTGACAAGTGATTGTACTTACGTGTCCCCATTGTCATCTTGCACAGCTGTTAAATGCCTCTGAACAGCAAGTAAATACCGTACGTCACCAGTAGCAGCATAATCACGCATGGCAGCTGATGATTTCTCGGCAAGATTCCATGCTAATTCACTGAGATCTGTAGTAAGACAACAGCAGGAAGTTAGAATAACAAACAAGTTACAAGTATGTAAAAGTTTGCTCATCAGTCAAATAAAGAAAGGTGTCATTCATTTTGTCAAAAATCTGAGTACCTCTGGGGGAATGTTACCTTCAGAGCTACTGCTCACATCCTCTACAACTAAGCTAGAGAGACCTCTGGTGAGCTATATGTAAGCCATATAGTTATTTTGGTTCATATGTGTCATGAGATCCAGGGTTCCATTTGTTGTACTTTTTCTGCTTAGGGGTTTTTTTTTTGTACAAGATTTTTTTCAGTGTCATGCACTTGTTACAAAGACAAACATCCTTCTTTGAATAATGATAGTATAGCACATTTCAATGCCGATTGAAATATCATCCTTAAAGTTTTCTTCGTGTTATACAATGCATTTTTAGCTTCATTTCATGACTAAGATAAACACATGTATGCACCAACCACTAAGTTATTGAACAAAAAACACAGTCAAGCTCACCTGCTTCTTGTGGCTGTCCAGATGCATGTGTCTGTCCAGAAGAATGTGACTGCCCCTGCTGTGATGAGCTCCCACCTCCTACAAAATTTACATTAAAAAATGTATGAGTTGTTAAATTCAATGGCCATGTTATGGAAGGAACTGTTTTGAAATGACTTATCATCCATAACTACACTGCACAATAACATTTGATTCATTCTTGTGAATTTTTCAAAAAAATACATGGATGTACCCTTGAACAAAATTTGAAACAGTCAATTGCCACAAATCAAAATTGTCATAATTTCACTTTTCTGACCATTGTCTAAAACAGATTAGATACCCATGCACTATGTGTTTGTCCCATTACAGATCACTGGCAAAATCATAATGCAACAAGAACATCAAAAACGTTCATGTCTCCCTACCAAACAAACTTTGACTCCTGTGATATGTAACTAAACAAATACTAGGCACTATGAAATCTATTGGTTACCATTAAACATGACAATAAACAACAATAAGTGAATTGCTCACCTTGATTGCCTGACTGCGAAGTTCCTGAGTTTGTATAATTTGGTAAAAAGCCTATGGTTGGTGCTAGGAAGCCAAAGGCACCAAAATTGAAGCCACCACCTCCTCCCCCTGCCCCACCCATGCCAGGGCCTCCTCCACCACCACCACCACCAAGGTAGTCAGAGAAGTGTGGGATCTTCTTTCGCCTTTTGGCTCCAATTTGCTCTTTGTCTGATGAGAAAATGAAATAATTATCACTTATTATAAATTTTGCGATTATAACTTCTCTCAAACACTATTGGTTGGTGTAGCCAAGCCAGGATTGCTCAGGAAATTAGGATGGACCTAAGATAGTCTCTAACAGCTTGTGAGGACAGCAGCTAAAAGTGTGCAAAGTTCCATGTAAGAATTGCTAAACTGACCTAAATTTACAGTATCAAGTTCAAAAATTAATGACAATATGGGAAGTAAAATCCCTATAGATTATAACAGGAAGCTTGTATTCAGCTTAAATGAAGATTCCACAAAACCAATCAGTGTTTTGTCCCAATTTTCCTTTTGAATAAAAATCTAATGGTGCAGGTCATGATGCTTTGAACAGTATTTTTCCAAATATGTGTTCACCAGAATGCCAGGATGGGTATCCTCCATTGAATAACCTGAATCTGATTATAAATAACTTAATGACATACCAAACATTTGTGGTTGATATGTGAACTCCACTGGGTCACTTGTCTCCTGATCAGACTTCCGCCGTAGTTCAAGTTGTACCTTGACAGGTTGTTCGATAGCCACATTCCAGTAAGCAGGAGTTTTGAAAACAATGGCAACCTGGAACCAGGAATAATAAGAAAACAACGTGCAAGTCAAAATGAAATCAACCTTCACTCTAGGGAATCCATGCTACTAGGTTACTAGATTTTACCCAATATTTTGTTTACCAGTACATGTTAAGGAAGAAGTTTGATTTCCTGACACACAAAAATGAAGCTCCTGGCTCTACCATGACAGAGCAACAGTTTCTATTTTAAAATCACCTGTCTGTGAACATCTGTAGGGGAAAACACTCCACGATCTTCCCATGTTTTTTTACCAGTCTCCATTTCAGTTTCATAGAATATAACCTCAATATCGTCTGCAAGACAGAGCAAGATCATGTCATGTTGACCTCATGGCAAAATAAAATTTTTGTATTGATAGAAATTCACACTTGCAAAATTAAGGTGTAACCATAAACAGTATGATCCAACACCCACCTTTTTGTACTTTATCACACAGTAAGTAAACCTCGTCACCTCCTTTGACGCATCCAGAGTTGCGATCCATACGGCAAATCTTAAGATTTGAGGCTGATGGGGCCTCTGCAAAAATAAGTGAATTGCATTAACTGTATAACCTCTGCAGCTGATTCAAACAAAAGATGTCCTAAGAATTTCAAAATATTAAGGGCAAACAGGTGTTAAGAATAAACAAACTTATCAAGATCAGCTAGAGTGAAACACTAAGAATAACTTATTTTAATAAAGTTTAAGGAGTTTAAGGTTCAGATGTTACAATGGCTGGAATGCCTGTTCAAAATGATGTTTAGCCTATTTACACATTAGCCTATTTACACATTAGCCTATTTACACATTAAAATTACACATTAATGAACAAATGTTTTGACTGTATCAATTGTAACTTCCAGACTTAAATAAGAGCTAAACTTTGCATAATAACCAGCCCTGAGCCTTTACCAAATAAACTAAAGTACTATATCTCACTTGAATCGTAAACTGCATTGGAAATGCAGGGATGCAAAGCTTTTGTAAAAGCACCAGTTTCATCAGGAAGAAATGCTTGAAAACACAGCCTGACAGCATTCAAGTTCATACTCTGCTTTTGTTCTTCCACCATGGCGCGAACCTTTTGTGATTCCTCCTCTAATAGAATAAAAAATTAAAATATCAGGAGACTTTCTTTACTGACAACTCATAACAAGCTGTTTTTAATTCAATAAAGGTCTTCTCTGTTTAAATGATTAAATTTCAAGATCTTTCCACTGAGCTATTGACTCTACATAATCTGATTACTGGCTGTGCTTTTTCAGAAAAAGAACTCATCCAATACCAACATAAAGTTGGTATACAACAAGCATAGTAATGCTTTTAATTACACAGTCGTTACTGGCACATTCAGAGTGCAAGACATAAAATATCATCAGAATTAATAATGTTTCTATCACACCTGCCACAGCTTCTGCCAAGCGTTTATCAAAAGAGCTTCTGTCACCATCTACCATTGCTTGGTCTACTAAACCTGCCACACCAAACACTTTTCCATCTCCTGATGTTAGGGCATTTAATGTAGCTGTGTGAAGGGTCTGCATCTTGATATATCGATCCATAAGCACTTTACCAACCATTTTCTTTGTGACATGTTCAATACCAAGATTGGGAAACCTAAAAATTGAGCAAAATAATGAAGCTAACTTGTGGTTTAGCTTGCTAAATTAAAACCAAGTTTGTACCACTCTGGGTGTAAATATTTGAACAACAAGAATGTCACTTTTTCCACACAACATTCCTTTGGCTCCTTTCACAAGAAATCAATACCCAACAATTTTATGACCTGGACACAGTTAACTTCATGGCAAAGGTCATTACCCAAAAAGATCAAGTCAGCAATCAAGCCAAGTGACCTCATCTACAGTGTGATTGAAGCTTATTCCAGTTTCCATAACATGAAGCAACTTGGATTGCATTGCTTCTCCCCCCCCCCCCCCCCCCCCCAGATTAGAAGCCAGTCCTCTGCTAGGTCACCCTTCAGCATTTCATCAGGCTGCCACTTCCCTGACAATTCACCAGTACCCATTTATACTCCTGCACATAGAGAAGCACTGTGAGAATAACGTGACTTGCCTAAGAACACAACACGATGATGCAACTCAGATCTCTTGATCTAGAATCTAGCCCATTAATTGGATCCCCAACACTGTTATAAAAGTCATAAACAACTCACGTTGCTGTCATTCCTTGTTCTGGGCCAATCTGTACTGTCACCACTCCATTAGTGGAGTTCTTGCCAATCAAACTGTGTGCATGAGGCATAGGAGGTTCATCTACTGTCACTAATGATACCACAATTCGTGCAGGCCCTTGGTAGTTACAGAGCTGAACAGACGGATATGACTTTTTGCCTTTCTCAGAATACTGCCCTGGTAGACCACCATGAGATGGGCCCTCACATGGATAACGGAAACGGAAACCTCTCTGCAGAAACAAATGTTATGCAGGGTATTGGTCAATCCTGTCACATATACAATAATGTAATCATCTGAGTGTGTGAAAATGTGAGAAGGACTATGTTTTAATAACTATCACTACATCTTTGTTTTTAAAAATATTGTGAAAGTCAATTTCAGAGTCAAGTAAAGAATTTTATTGTTTCCTTTTTCTTCACCAGCTGAAGGTTTTTATCCAGTTTGTGAGAAGAGATTGGTCAGTTACAAGTTCTAAAATGTCACTGGTTGTAAGACTAGTGGTATTGATCAATTTCAATCTGTAGGTAGAGTGTGGTCACAACTCTCATGATTGAGAAGAGGAATCTCATGATTTAATCATACCTCAGGTTCATAAAATGTCTTAAGGTAAAAGTAAGGCCAACTCTATCAAACAGCCATCAAATGATCTCTCTAAATCAAAGATCAATTTAACTGGGAGCCTAAGCTTGTTGAGTCCAAGTTTTAAGATAAGAATGCCATGTTTACCTGTTTAGGTTGTTCAAGAATTTCCATATAAGGTCCTATAAAAATGTTTGATAACAAAAGTTACATTACTTATAACATAGAAGTATCAATCTTTTTCTGGAATGTTGTCCATACCCTCTTTAACAATTGTTTCAAAATAGAGAGTGTAAATAAACTGAACTGCTTGTGCTTATACTGTTTATGTACCTTCTCAATAACTAATTCCTATCAAAACTGATGAAGCTAAATGCAAAGTTAAATTTGAGTTTCCTAAACTTTGATACAGTTATCATATAAGTCTTTGATTTCAGTTAAAAATTGCATTTGGGTTTAATTTTTAATCAACACAAATTCCACTTTCCCAGGAACAATTTTGCTACAAATAGTAGAGGATGTAAGCACTTAGAATAACCAGATTGGTTTATTGAGAAACAAAGAATGGTATAAATTATCTTGGTTGAAATTGCAACAAGCAGTGAACAATTTTGCTACAAATAATAACTGAGAAACAAAGAGTAGCTGAAATTCTTTTGATTTATGTTACTACAAGCAGTGATACATTAATTTGGCAAACCCAGCTACCTTGGTACGATGCTGTTGGCACCTGGAGTGCCGAGATGTCGGGTAGATACCCCGGTGTCAGGAGATCCATCACAAAACTGTCCGTGAGAGTTTCACCGATCTGCCTTTCCGAGTTGGTTGCCATGGTAGTAGCTGGTTCAAAATATGGCAGATCCCCTTACTTTTGGAGTATCTTTTTATAGCTCACAAATTACAAGTGCTAAAGGAAGAAACAACATTTTCAATGAGTACCAAAACATCTTTAAATCATAGGTAACAAATTGTTATATCTAAAGAAAATGGAATTGCCAGAGAAAGAACTTTGGAGACAAAGTTGAGGGAATAAAAGACAGAATTCACTGTGACTGAGAAAAAACATTTATTGCTGACCAATCACTTCTAACAAATTCATCTGAATACCTGCATCATCCTTCATTTCATCTGCATTTCCTCAGAAACATGGCAAAATATAGTCTAATACCATTTCAAAAAACAGAGCTTTTACTCATATCTACCAAATGATTACAGTTAAATATAATGAGCAACATACGCATCAGTCAGTCTAAACACATGCTCCTGTATTATTGCTAACAAACAGTCATTCTATTAATCAATATAGTATTGAAGATCCAGTTGTTTCTCAATTACAACCTCATAGCCCTGATCATAATAACTTTTGGATTCCATCATTAAATTTGGCACAAGAGGTCAGCATACGGTTATTTTTCAGATATTTAATTAAGGCTGTATTATACAGGACCATAAAACCAAATTGACACAAGAACATGCCTGCATGTTCAAGGCAACAATGAATTTTACGTAAAAGTGATTTTGAAATGGTTACGTTGTGTTCCCCTTTGTTCCAAGCACATTGCTGTAGCTCTTATGCAAAGAAAAACACATTCTAAACTTGATTGTTGTCATTTTGCCCTGAAATTATTTCAAATTACAACATATACATGTATTCATATACGTGTACTAGCTGTGGTAAACATATCGAATTTACCACAACTAAGCATATGCAACAAGCTCATGTTATGTCTGTCTTACATCAATCAAAAATGCCTCATAAAACACATATTTCATGGAGAAATTAAGATGCAAATTTAACTTGAATACAACAGGATCTTTACGACGTTTATTGTAAGTCAATCTTCATGTATCATGATCAGTTTGTCACAAGACTTAAGAGCATTAATCACACTGATGATCGGTCACAATCCCTTTTAACTAAGTAGTGACACTATAGGGTACGACAAGCGGAATATGGCTAAGTAGACTAGGAAAGAATGGGAAAAAATATCATCAACATGCTGATTAAGCACATGTTTAAGCACTGATCGTGACGTAAAACATGAAGACACCCACTGCCACAAGCGCACCTCGCTTACAACGATTAGTGAGACAATTTCGACGTTGAAATAAAACAAGGAATGAAGTATTCACGTTTGAACGTGTCGTATTACTATGAAAATGTTTCTGCGTTTGATGAACTTAAGTTATTTCGTTCTTCAAACCGCCAGTGTTAGAGAATAATTTCCTCGAAGGATACTGGTTGGTAAAATGACAAGAGAAAGTCAGGGAAACAAAATGTATGCGGCGAAGACAAGCTATAGAGAAGCCCAAAATACGTGAAATCTGCCCACCTTATAACGTTCGTTAGCCTTTTATCCTAAGAACTTGTAGATTCTCTTCCTCTTGTCGACTTTAGCGTGAAAACAACATTGAAGTTTTCCACTCACTCATGTGAAAACCGAAAGAAGTGGTTCAGTTTATAGTCTCCATTCTGCTCGACTAAGGGACTTCCCCGTTCCATTTCTAAGCTTTCTGATTGGACATAAACTAGCACGTGATCACATTTGTTCGGTGATGCAATGACGCTTACTTCAAATATAGCTCTTTTTTGGCGCCGGAAGTGGTGACGATTATAAGTCCCGAACAGCGAGTAGTAGGGAATTTTCCCTTAATTTCAAAATAAACAATTCAAGCAAAAAAGCACCAGTTTGTGCATCAAACTATCTGTGATGTAATGAAAAATATGCTAACAGTCTTCAGGAAGTAATAATGGTGACGGGATGTTCCTCGAAAATGCCCCATCTATAGAGAAAGTAAAATCATCTTAGCCTGAGAAGACTGAAAATGAAAAAACAAAATATATGAATATAACTTGAATTTAAAACAAATAGAAAATGAGTCTAAAGCTGTGCTTTTTGAATATACCATCTTCATTAAACTGCTTCTTTACGCTTCTATCCATTTGTAAACATTTCGCATCTACACAGTGAAAGATTTATGAAATACTTAGTTTTCGTCGCCATAGGAATGTTGCTTACAGCAGCAAAATCTGTAAACATTAAAAAAGGAAAATTTTTTATGTCTTATATTTTTACGTCAGCCATTATTCTGGCACTCTTCTTTTCAGTATGTCTAGTCTTCATTTCAGTATGGTTTTAAAGGAAACCACAAGGGCGAATATCTAATTCCAAATAGATACTGAGAGAGAGTAGAATAAACAGTCCAAAGGGTGAATTAAAGCTGAATTGTTCGAATGAATTCTATCAGAGATTGACTTTTAGGCACCGATGCAAAGCTTAACAAGGCGTGACGGATTTGGTAATCAAATTTACCGTAAAGAAGGCAGGCCTAGGTCTGAAAACCGATGTGGGAAATTATACACTTTGGTCTGATATTGCAACCTCCCTCTCAAGAATTCGGAGGAGTAGCTGAGGGAGAGAGGATTTGTGAAAGAACGCGCATGGTTTTCTCTGGCCTTTTTGGATGATTTAGCTTTTGAAGCAACGGTGTAACCAAGACTTGTTGACCATAACATATTTTCGGTTTCGTCTTAAGTATGACTCGTTCCAAGTGTTCAATATTAAGGCAGAGATAACCGCGACATCATGGTTGTGCACAATACAGCGAGAAATCAAGGAAGGGGAATCACCCGCGCGGTTGCTCGAATGAGAGCCCGAAACAGATTGGTCACTTGGATGGAAAAAGCATCCTCAAAAAATTCACTAAGAATCTAGAACGAGGTGGAACAAAAACCGTTAGACCCAGCAAAACATTATTATTGTACAGCCTAAAGAAACTGAACAGGAAGTAACTTTCCGAAATCCATCAGCGAGGATTGAATGACTCAGTTAATTGAAGAAGTTCTCGTAACTGCCAAGCTTCATCGAAATCCGATCCGAAGAACAATTTTATAAGAAAAGGAAGAACAATAGCTTCTAGAAAATCGGAGCGCGCTTTCTGCTTTTGTTGGTGAGGGCAGCTGCTCCCGTCATCGAAGAACTCTCCGGGTAGATGTCTCAGAGGAGACTTCATCTAACGGCGCTTCTCAAGCACTGTACTTGTATGTCTTAGCTACAGTTTAGCTTAAAGGTGAAATGAGAAAATCACCGCTTTTTTATATTATATAACTTCTTTTTCTTTACGCAAGTATGTGATGCGATCGGACGACGCTAAACAGCGAATTAAGAGACTTCGTCCATAAGAAATCTTTTGTTTGATCTCTGATATCCCGTATTTTTAAAGGAAAAATGTTTTATGAATCAGGTGTTGTCTTTCCTTCAGCTAATTAGCCAGCCAAAGTGAATGAAATGAGAAGATTCTGGTCTGAATTAATTGCGTGTTTGCATTTGACGTTTGGGCGACCGTAGAAAGATGCTATAATAATATTTCTATTTGATAAGGGTCTGAAACGAAAGTGCCGACAATAGAATCTGTTGATGAAAACAGTGAATATTTCATGAAGTTTGGGGGTTTTGTAATCCTGCACGCAATCAACGGTTCTGAATGACCTAGCTTGAGATTTCATACAACACTATGTTTAACTTGTAAACATCAAACTGCTTCTTAGAGACAGAAGTCTAATTTGTTTACACTTTTTTTAATCAAGATTGTAACTGCGGTGACAAGATCCTATGTGAATCTTTAACGCGGGGCATTAATTGAAGACTTGTGGCGATTGGTCTGTGGTCAAAAAAACAACTGAATTCTCTCTAGGAAAAAAATAAATTAAAAAAGCAAAGTAGGCAACTGTGACTCACTTAAAATCGTCATTCAGCATTTAATTTAATTCGAAAAACTGACAAAACTTCGCGTGTGTGACTTTGGAGTTACATCAGTTTACACGGTGGTAAAACAGGCTGAAGAGGTCGAGTCTTCGAAGGCAAAACAAACGTCCTTCAAGTGTCTTGAACAATGAAAGCTGGCACAAGAGATATTTTAATTCGCTTCACTTTAGTTGCGTTGTTTCTATTAATTGGCGCTGCAGTTTTTCAAGTCCTTGAAAGTACAACAGATCCACGCGAACTTGAACTGGCTGAAGACGCCGACAAAGCAACTCTGGAGAAAATGCGAACAAACTTAAGCGTGAATATGTCGAAGGAAGAATTTGACGATCTAGTGAACAAGCTTCATAAATTTCAAGAAGATCATCACCAAAGAGCGTCAAGCTATGAGTGGACGTTTTATGCTTCACTTTATTTCTCGTCGAGTGTTATAACCACAATCGGTAAGGTCTAATGGTTAAATTATCAGTTTTCAGTTACAAGGATAGCTCAACATCCATATAATTTCTATGAAGTGCTATCGAAGGCTCCCATGTTTATCCACTACTCTGTAAAAACGTCCTGTCTACACGGTTGTTTACAACTCGGAAGAAAGAAGAACAGACTGACCCATCCTCTTCACAACTGACTGCGGAGGCGTACCAGTTCGAAATCGCATAGCTCACTTTCAGAGAAAGTATTATTGATTTAAGACGCTGTGTTAGAAATTGTCACCTTATTCGTCTCGTAGTCTTCCTAAGTTTTTGCCTCCAAACTCGTAATCTTTTCAGGCTGCACGAATATAATATATATATATGTGTGTTGCCTTGATCATATAAGTTTTCCATTCAGTTTATTGACGACTGGATTTTATTGGGAGAGATTTGGGGATGCTTGAAAGACAGTTACAGTCTTGAATTCATCGTCAAAACGTTCAAACATTGATATTTGAGCTATAAGCTACAATTTAAAAATGGTTCAACTTTAGGCTTCACTTCCCCTTTAATACATATGTTTTGTAACAGTAAATTGTTCAATCACTTATGCACTTTCATGATCGATCGGCCTCTCGACAGACAACCAGGAAGCAAATTGGTCCGTCAGCTTGAAAGTTGGTCCGTTGGTCAGCTAGCCAATCAGATCGTAAGCTAGTCAAAGTCAATCATCTAGGAACCAGGGAGGGGGAAAGCCATGATCCCGGTTCATCGTCAGTCAGTTTGATACCTAACTAGTCACACCACTCAGTCAGCTAATACCCCCATGCCTATTTCTTTGATGCACTGACGCTCAATTCTCTGATTTCAGGCTATGGCCACATGGCTCCTGCCACATTTGGCGGCCGGTTATTTTGTGTTTTTTACGCGCTATTTGGTATACCTCTCTGTATGTTGGCGTTGAAATCAATAGGAGAGAGAATCAACGAATTGATCGAAAATGGTTTTATTTTGATCAGTTCAAAGTACCAGCTCCAACAAGACAAAGGTATTAAGATTAAGGTGCTATTAAGCACTGCTGCCCTGGTCCTAGTCCTTCTCATGCTCGGTGGACTGCTGTATTTGTCAGAAGGCTGGAGCTACTTTGACGGAGTTTACTACTGCTTTATAGGTATGGCTTACGTAAGTTATTATAGGAGAGACAATGAACTAATAGCAAGCGTGTTTGGAACACAAAGGTACTTAGGAACATACCATGATAAGCTGATGATTAAAATGTCCATGATCTTCAGGCGGATGAATTCCTTAGCTCATTCAATCATCAATTCATTTGTTCATTAATTCAGTCATTCAAAAGCTCACAATGTCCATATTATAAACGAATGACTTGTTGAAAGCAGAGAAATATTATCGTTCGTAAACCATTCAACTGATAAAAATGTTAAGGTTTATTCTTTGTAAATTTATAAACTAAATAAGTCATTAGATCATGTTTTCTTTTATCAGCTTTAAGCACTATTGGGTTTGGGGATATGGTACCTAGGAAAGGCCAGGAGCCTTCATCCGGGATCCAAACGCTGGAACTTGTCGTCCGGGGTTTCTACATTGTATTCGGCCTCGCCCTTGTGTCGAGTCTACTCTCTGCAGTTGTAGCGGCAGCTGAAGTATTGAACAGATGGAACGGCTTCAAAAGGACAAAAGGTGTGTATAAGGATTCACTAAAAATTTTTACAGCAAAATTCAGGTGGAAACCGTTTTATTATGACTCATTTTTTCTTTCCTCTTCCCTTAACCAGGTCTTTGCTGTCACAGAAGGACGGGTGCAAATATCACAGAGGAACTGGGTCCAGTATCTGATGGCTTGTACACAGTCTCTCGCAACCTGGATAATATTGTGTTTCCATCTGTCATTCCTTTCAGACGATTTGCTTCACATCAGTCAACACCGCTGATAAATGATCCACGCTGGCTTTACTGAGCTGAAAATCTTATCGATAGTAACCAACCAGGGCGTGACAGTAAGATCGTGTTTTTCTGTGTGTGATTTACTGGTGGAATTTCTAGATCTAAGAATGGCGAAGTAATTTCTTGGCCCAAAGACGTAGATAGATGGTAAGAGCAAGCTACCTAGAGTTACGCATCACTTATTATTATGAACGGATTAGCCCTGTTAACTTTTATTTACAGATTGGTTTGACGAGGCGTTTAACTGTTAATATAAAAAATAGAGTTGGCAGACGCTACAGAAGCGGTACTCCGTAGTTTTATAGAATGGTTTCAAAAACCACGAACAAAACAAACCGCAATTTTCGTAGAAACTGTAGACAATAGCTTATCAGCTGCTTCATAATCTTACTAGGTCGACAGAGCTCCTTTGGTAATGTGGCTTGTAACATGTATAGCGGGAAATTCAAGAGGAAATACCTAGCACGTGTATATTGTGGTGTTTTTCAGGGGTAAATTTTTCATGACAGCCAACTCTCACTCTTTGTAAATAAGCATTTTTCTCATTAGTTAAATTTTATTTCAAATATTTTTTCTCAAGCGACCAATGATCAAATTTATTAAACGACCGCGCCCTTTGGGGTGCTCAGATATTTTTTTGTCTTCAGAAGCGACAGGTCAAAAACTGATCATATCAATTTATAGATTTATATTTTTGTCTTCAGTAACCATTTTCTTAGTTCAAAATTATCATGATCAAGTTGTCTGGAAAGAGGGGAAGGGCTTCGTAAAGACGTTTTTAAGACGCGAGCGGCGACTGAAGAAACAACCTCTCAAATTCCGGCTACCAACGTTAAAATGTCTTTGCATAAGTCTCTCGGAGACTGGTTGTTATTTACCGTCTGGAAGGGGCTGGTGAATTTTGGTTTGGTCACGACAAAATTTATCTGATTCCCCTCCCCCCCGCCTATAAATATTCTTATGATCCCCATCTGATTGGCAGTCAATTTTAACCCCCCCCCCCAACCTTTATACTCTGTTGGCGACAACTGATCCCTTCTCCGTCCCCCTTGAACACCATGTGATCCCCAAATTCCCTCAGTCCCCACCCCCAAGGTGATTTTGAATGACTAGTCACTATGCAGCAAAACTCTAAAAGGCAACACCACACAAGGTAACACAAAAGCCTTTACCAAAAGTATGTTTAATAATTTGTACTTATAATGTAGCCTATAACTTATTTACAGTTGATACAAAAACATTTGTAGACTCAGAAGTAGGTACATCTCTCAATATTTTGAGATTAAAATAAAAATGTATGTTTAATTGAATGAGTTTTTTTTTCGTTCCATAATCCTACCTAGACTACTACAAAGGTTTAAATATTTCTATTCATACTGCCAGAGAAGCCCGCGCCGTGCTACAACCATCATTATTTCCCTTTCATTGAGTATATATGATCTGGCGAGATTCAAAGTAGTTAAAAATAATGATTGTATGATTTCATATATCTATGCAGTTTTAGACAGACGGCCTGCTCTGCCTATCGTTATACAAATACGCTGTTTGTCTTCGACTAGAGGCTTTCCTTTTGAGAATTAAAAAGGAAAGAAACTCTTCTTGCCTATTTTGTCTAGGATAATCCGCAATAAATTCAACTAGCTTTGCACAGGAAAGCTTGGAAAGGCCTCCAAAAAAACCAAAAGCTCATGAAAATAAATCACTCGAAACATAATAAAATATTCGTTTTCTGGGAGGGATGAATCGGCGAAGGAAGTCTTCATAGACCTGGAAGAAAAAAAAAGGTGACACAACTTCAGAAAGGCATATCGTTACGTTAAGACTAACATTGAAAATTCATAGTATGGAAAAATCTAAAATCCCCCCCTCAGAAGGCAGGAGGGATATTTCTCTATCCAACCACACAGTTATGGCTCTTTAAGAAAGAAAAGCAATTCCTCAAAACATTTGAACTAAATCACGAAATTAAAAAAAAAAAGAGTTTTCGTCCATAATGTTTTCAAGTAATTGGATGTTTAACTTACCTCACATGTTCTGTTAAACAGCGGAAACTTGGCCCTCTTCTTCTGTGAAAATAAACGATACGAAAAAGATGTAAGCCAGATCAAAACAAGGTCAAAACAACTGTCTTATTTCAAGGAAGAAAATATTTAGAGAATCACATTCTACATTCATTAGTCAACACAACATCAAGTTTCTTATTTCGGATAAAGGAACAACATCGTACGAATTCAAAAGCAAGACAATAACTTTGGCGTGTGTGTGTGTGTGTGTTTTTTTTTTATCCCAGATACTTTTAACCAAGTGATCTCAGCAAGTTTCGGCTTGATGGCAGAGTACGTTAAAAACAAGTAGTCGAGCTGTAGGGCGAGCCATCGGAATTGCAAAATCGGAGCTTTGCCGCAGTTTCGACTCTTTTTCACCCAGGGCTCACACATTTTTCTTCGCAGCAAGCTTTTGTCTTGTGTTTGAAACAAATGAACATGTTGCTTCCGATTGGCTCGCCTCTTCACGTTATGTCGTAACCCACACGGAATGTTGGGAGAACACGCAAAAGACATGAGCGTGTTTCAGTTTGCCACAAAATCCAAAATCTGTTTTTAACCAATAAGAGACGCCGTAGCATTTCAGTCATAAATAATACACAGCACAAAAGCAATAACCTACCGTCATAATTTTCTACGTATTCTACTCTGTTGTACTGATCTGGATAGTGGTAGCTGACATACTGGTGATATGTAACTCCTGGAAAAGTAAAAAATAAAATTAAAAAACGGACCTAAGAGCGGATCACGGACACGTTTTCATGATTGCCAAGCAAGTACGTCATTTGCCGCCATCGACGATTTTATAATCATTTAATTTTACTAATCTCAAATTTTCGGTCTTGATCTAAAACGTGATCACGTTGCTGGGAAAGCGCTCACTTTGCCAACTTCTCACAAAATGCGCGCAGATAATAAGAAGAATTTGAATTACGATCTCAGAAACTCACCAGGATGATATGGATGTTCTTGTGAAGAAGTTGAGTGGGTTGGGCTGTAAGGAACACTATCGGTGGAAGGAGCTTGTACTAAAAAGATCAGAGAAATACAGATAAATATAAAAAAAAAAGTCTCAAACTTTAACGAGGTTACGGTAATTAAGAGTCCTTGACTAAACTCGTCCTCCGATCTCCTCCCACCACTCCTGTTGGGAGAATGAACAGCAGAATATTTGTTACAAACAGTTAATTTTTTTTTACCTGTATACATGATCGGCCTGACTACCTCCACACCTGAAATGACGAAAAAACAAGGACAAGTCAAGTCAACAATCATACTTATTAACCGGTTATTAATAAGTTGCACTCAGCATTAAGCTGTTAGGGCTCAGGGTAAGCCTTCTCGATCAGTTACGAGCTTTTCCGCCTCCCTTCGGCCAAAGTCCCTCAGGACTACCAATTACTCAGGACTTTTGTTTGATGCTTAATGGAAAAGTTGACCCGGAACAATGGACCATTTCTTGATACGCTCTCTGGGAAATCTAGCGAAATGCTGGTAAATATGGGGGGGGAGGTTTCCTAGTAGGTTCATGGCACAGTAACAGTGATAATCGGCTAGTAAGCGTGAAGGACTTCATCTAACCACAGAATTATTGTCTGACCTGGTGGATGGCGGTATTGTGGTCTCTGATGATCATCATTGATATGCAGTCTTCTGAGTTCCTGCATATGGACGGTATCTTCTGGTAAAGATGTTCTGTCTGCTTCAGGAAAGACATGCACTTCCTCTGACGGAAAAAAAAATTGCGCATGAAATAAGAGATTTCATTTTCCTTCAAAAAATACTGTTCAAAGAAGAAAGAGAGAACGAAAAAGAAAGGAAAGCGAAATAACAGTTATTGCGACTCATTTCATACCGTGGCAATCACACAAAATTCAAACTCGTTTTCTTTCTCTTTTTCAGGTACAGAAATTTCCGAGTAAAATAGTTTTGAAAAAAAAAAAAATTTCTTTGTCGCACAAAGCGAATCGTCGCTACTATTAGTCCTCCTTTCAAACTAAATACGGGAAGAACTTCCCGAAACTGCTGTTTATAACGTAGCCACGCTTCACCTTATTCTTTTCATTTATTGCTAAAATAGTTTACCTTCACTGATTTGCTTTGGAGACTGCACATCCGGTAACGATGATGTACTCGCTGTAGAGGACACCGAGATTCTGTCACCCGCTATGTCTTTTCTTAGAGCTAATGGCGAAGGAACTGAGTACAGAAAGAAAAACTCCATTAAACAAAGTCAGCACAAGTTATTTAATAATTGGAAGGTTCAACACATTCTTATGTCTTAATCAATTTTCTGCTCATAGCTCTGACTACAAACGTGTTGGTGCACTTCAATTGGGACCGGGTCACAGGATACCCGAACTTACCGCTTTTGACAGTAGTGTAATCGTTATAAAATATTGTTAAAGAGATAAAGAATCACAAATTAAAAGGTTTCTTTGATGACAAGAATCAATGTGAAAGGAATTTATTACGAAGTGAGGCCTACCATTATAACGTAAAAAAATATTCAGGCTTCTTTAGAGATGTTACAGACTCGTGTCTAGGGTCCTACAGGTTCTCAACCTCTGGCAAGGGGGGGGGGGAAGGGAAAGGAGGGAAGAGATCTGTAGACAGCAGGCACCAAAAACAGTTTCTTTGCTCACCCGTCAACTCACTTGGTTTTCCAGCTTTACGATCTTTCTTGTTCGCGCCTGGAGAGGACGTGGGCGAGTTCTTCTTTCGTGTCTGTACGCTGGGAGGAGCTGCTGGACATGAGGAAAGAAAACGATTGAAAAAATTAAAATCTGCAAACACAAGGGTCCAAAAACAATGAGTTTGGAAGGAGAGACTGGGGCGATGGAGTGACAAAGTTAACTTACCGGATCCTTGTGGAGGTTCGCAGACATTTGACATTTCTCGTAACTTTTCTTCATCTTGTATGACAGTTAGGTTCGACAAGTATTGCTTTACCCTGCGTGACATCATGGACTGCGTGACAAAACAAAATGCAAAACAGAGTAAGATAGAGCAAGATCCAAGACTAACGTGGAGAATCAAATTTTCAAATGTCAACTGAAATAAAGTTAAGGCGTCTGTTTAAGAGAAATCATCTTGAAATCAGTTGTTCTTACCTCCTCGTACATCTTTTTGGGATTTTGGTCACGCAACGATCTCCGACTCCATGTAGAGCTACCTGTTACCATGCCGACCACCGTTGACGTCATTTTCTGTTGCCCAGGTCCTCCTTGACTGTTCAGCTCGTCTTCGAACATCGTGTCAGGGTCCTGGAACGAGAAGAATTGCGTTAAAATAATGTTTCTATGAAATGCACGCACTAATCAGCGTCATACTCACGTAGGGAATGGAGTTGAATTTTGAAATCTGGCGGACTTCTCTTGCAATGAGTCGAAGCTTTTCAAAATTAACCTGCAAATATATTCAAACAAAATTGTGAGCAAAAATTTATCTTCCGCAAGTGAAATCAAGGAAGGAATGGGGTGTAAGCAAATCCATATTGCGCCGCACTCTTATAAAAATAGGTGAGTTTCTCAATTCTACGACTTTTTATCTTTTACAATTAACGCAGCGTAGGCAGCTTCTTCAAGCAAAAAACAAAGGAAAACAATATTTCCTGGAAAATAGTCTGGGAGGGGTAAAAAAATTCCTCTCAAAATTAGCTTTAAAAGTACAAAAAACCAAGTTAGTTGTGAAATACAAATGGATATTCACTTACAAGTCCGTCCACGATACTATCATTCCCTAGATGAATGAACGTCAGATCCTTCGTTATGACAGGAAAGAACGGAATCTAAAAGAAGAACAAAAAAATGACTTCAATCAAGCTAACTTTCATTCAGTCTTCCTAATAAGAATCTTGAAATTCAACATGTTATCGGAAGAGTTTTCTTTTTAAGCATGATATCTGTCCATACACTTCGCCAACAAAATATAATTGTGACGAATTCATTCGCGTTTTATCGCACTTGTCTCCTTTTACTTTTGCTCTTTGCAATAATCTTTTTTAACAATGGCTGATGAGATGAATTTGATTTCAGTTTTACAAAGCTCGATCGAGATGCGGCCTATCACAAGAATTAGCCTAAGAGAAGTCAAAAGAAAGTGTTTTGGATAAAGGTTCGAACTTAAAAAAAGTTCAACTTTTCATAACTCGTAATGGTGGACTGCACGTACCAAGGGAGGCTCTCCGTGTTCTCCATTTAGTAAATTTCTGTATTTAGACATGTTTCTTGACGGATCCATCAGACTCTGAAGATCCTGAAACAGACAAACAAAAAAAGAACACACGTTTAAATTATCCATATAAATATCGTCACACGACTCATTTAACGTGGGTCTGCAACACAGTTCACCCATAATTGATAGTAGAAAAGAGAGGGTAAGTTTCTAGAGACTCTGTGGTGCTGCGTCAGTGGGCTAGTTACGAGAAAATTTGGTTTTATCAACTGAGTTGATAAACGTAAATTGGCCTTCGTAAAGAGTTTCTGAAGCTGACGTTTCGAACGTCTTTGTCAGAGCGAATAATCAAAACGTCAGCTTTAGGAACTCTTTACGGTGACCAATTTACTTCATCAACTCAGTTGATAAAACCAAATTTGCAAAACTGATAATAACCCGGAAAAGCACTGTAAGAGTAAAGTGTCTCATACACCTCGCATCACAGTGACTCAACTGTGACTCGAATCCAGACTTCGACCGGGCAGTCCAGCGCTGAACAGTTCTAACACTAACGCACACACTGCCACAGGCTTGGCACTCCTAAAGACACATTAAACCTGATAAACATCTCTTTAAGCACAGCTCACCTCGAATGCCTTGCTATGCTTTGTGGGTAACTTGTCCCACGTATTCTTCAAACGTTGTACCGTTGAGTGGCCAAGACCGCTGAAACAGAGAACAGCGGGCGTAAGTTAGAGGGAATGACTTCAACAAAGGGGTAGCTATTTGGTTTATTTAAAGAGTTAAACAAACAAATGCGGCAATGTCATGGTATTATATAAGTATTAGTATAAAAAGCGAAAACTAGGAGCGAACAGAAGTCGGCAAAAACATCTGAGCATCGACAAGGGCAGAAAAATATACTAAGTGAACTGGAAGGCGAGAAAACATGTAATCATCGACAAAGTGACAAACCTGACATAATAAGAGGGAAATTCTCATAAAACTGGAGGGCGAGGCAGTCGAGGAGCTAATTTAAGGTCTCTTTTAAGGCCAAATAAAGCGCCGAAAAAAAAGAAAAGAAACGAGAAAAAGGAAAAGAAAAACTACAATGCCAGTAACTTAGATAAACCAAATAAGGGTTTTATCTTACATACATTAACTCACCTCACAATAGCAAATAACGAATTGTAGTTTTTGCATTCTTTACAATATCCTGTGAATAACACATGAGCATATTAAGCCAAAAATATTTCAACGCTTTGGAATAAAAAACTTTCGAATATCAAAGTCAAATACTCAACATGCTATTATCTAGGTCTGACTTACTTGCAATTTTGATAAAAGCTTTGATTAACTTCATTCTCTTTACTAAGTTTGCTTCACTGCATATTTCGGTCACAACCCAAAACATCTCGTTATTTACAATCTGCGAAAAATGAAAGAATGCAAACATAGCGTAAGTAAACTTCAAAATGCGCAGCCTTGCGAATAATCAACAGCTGAATTTTACTCTTGTTAAATGATTAGGTTCACTTTACCTCAGAAAATTTTCGTAAGTTTTCTGTGAGTTTCGGACCAAAGTTCCACAGCTTGTAGATGTACTCGCGAGGATCAATACTTCTAAAAACTTCAAAATCCTGTAAAAGGAAGATCGTTCGAGGAATTATGAGAAATTGAGGATTATCTCTACAGCTGCAAAGTGGGTACAGTTAGACCTTTGTTTTGATGTGATCAACAGGATCCTCCTATTCGTCTCAAAAAATTGGAATAAATGGGACGATTCTGACGATCTATGAACTAAAAATGCCTGACTAAAGCGCGTGTTTTGTGTGACAAAAATGTGTGTTACTAACAAGACCTGGAGAAAAATTTAATCCTCTCTTTCCTACGAAAGAAGAGAACGATGTTAACTTGATGGCTTGGAAAAAGGAAAAAAAAGGTTGAGGTACTCTCAGAATCGTTCAGATTTGGAAATCATGCAATCTTTCCTTACGCAAACAATTCAAGCAATGATTTAAAATTGCGCAAAACTCCCCCTACCTGGAGTGTTAGTTCTTTGGCCACCTCTTTCGGTTTAAGTTGCAACAAACTACACTGAGACTCCTTGGCCAGCTCCTGAATTTAGATTCGAGAGAACGTTAATCAGAAATGGTGGCTACTTCAATTTGTCCACAGGATTAATTTCCATGCTACCAATAATGCGTCTTAACCCAGACCCTCTACATTTTCTCAAGACCTACCCATTGCTAATCCTCTTATGGCCTCAAAATCTTAACCATCCTGTTTCTTAAAAGTTAATTTATTTCCAAAGTTTTTCTTGCAACTTATTTATCACGGGATAATATCCCCAATTTCATAACTTCTTGTTAAAAGGTTAAATAATTCAAAGGCTCATTCGCGTGGGCTTATTCGCTTTTCAACTCTCGTGCAGCTGTAGTTCACCATGATTCACGAAGATCAATTCTTAATTCAAGTAAATAAAGTACTTCCGAATTGACTTGTTACGCTAATACGCTTCAAGCACGCGCGTCATGCCATCAACCAATTAGATGTTAGCCTAACATGATCCAGTCTATCGTGTTTCCAAGTGCGATTCACGTGCAATATTTTGCTTCATTTCATTGGTTCAAATTGTTGCCATCGTTTGCTCTGATTGGCCAGTTTGATTGTCATGGTAAAAAGAAACAAAAGAGCCCCACTGACCTGAGCGGCCTCGTCAGGGAGAAGCTGACTTGAGACACTGTTGTTCTTCAGATAGTACCTGGGAATAAATAACGAAAAGGTGATCACTCACTTAATTCTTGTAAATGACGATACGATAACGCAAATTTATGGAAGTTAATTATGAGAATCTTAAAATTAAGATCGGAAAAAAGTAAGAAACAAAAGAGGGTTGAAAAGTCGTGGGACGAAGGAAAAATTTTAAGTCCCCTTGAGGAATCGAGCCCCAAACCTTTGGATTCCGCGCCCCAATACCCTGCCACTGAACAACAGGGAACTCCACAGTAAGCATTGATATGTGACACGCGTCTCCTCTACTGCTAGGTCGAAATCATCGTGTCAGTAAACAGAACAATTTATTCGTCTTGTTACGAGCGTGGGTAAAGAGAGTTTACTCACCTTCCGTTCAAGTGGATTCTATCGGGAAGATTCGTCAGCATGTCGGGAAGTCTTCGCTGTTTCACGAACCCTCCGTCCTCGACTGTTACTTCGCACAGCGCGTATTCTCTGGAGAACGTTGAATATAAAGCCGGTTTAAAATCAAACTTCTCCTTTATCAGAATCCTGAAGATTTTACCCTAAGACTTGCAAGGATATTGTTCGCCACTGAACATTCCGCGATGTGTTAATCCTCAAAAATATCACGGAAATTGCAACTTTTGCTTCGTATCACATTTTCAAACACGATGCAGGATTATCCCGGTAGATAAATAGAGAAACTGAAGATTACAAGGAGTTTTGATCGGTTCAAGAAGATCCGTTACTGAATGACTGCAGAATGTGCGGACCAATACAATTTTCCACTGAAGTCTGGACGAGCTTTACTCAGTTTCATATTTTTATTTTTACCTTGGAGAGCCCTGAATTCCAAACGCTTCAACGGCTCGGTTAACAACCTCTCGTGCCGTAGTTTCCTACAAAACAAGACAAAATAGTCGGCAAAAACATCTGAAATACGGTGTGTCGCCGGATCTAAAGTGGCAGCAATATCTACTCCGTCTACCTTTCGTCTTACTCGAGGAAAAAAGCTTACACATGCCAGCATTGTCTCTGATTGTTCGCAAAATTGATCGGGCAGGTTGAGTCTGGTTGCAGACACATGTGCTTACGACAGCTATAGGGTTTGCGCTTCTACGCGCTCTGTTCACAGAGCGATCAACCAGCGCGTTTTTATCGCAAAAACTAGTCGGTAAACTCTCGCGTGATGCGAAGTGTTTGGTTTCACTTCCACGCGGAAGGAAGAAATACGCTAATCCCTCACTATTCATTTACAAAATACAGCCGCCACGAAAGAAAAAAAGCGGCTTACAACACTAAGAAATCTCATTACATTGCAATACATCTTTAAACAGTTTTGATAATCTACACTCGATGCGAAAAATTTGTTTTACCTCTGTCTGATCGATGTTTGTATAAAACACTCTATACAGAAATGACAATCTATTCGATTTTCCTTGAACATACTCTAATCTAGAGGGCCGACGTTTAGTTGTGTGAAACAAACATTTTTAACACCATAACGTGATTATTAGGGGCTCGGTCACTTTCATCCAAAAAACCCCATCAAAGTATCCCGCATCTTGTTAGCAGTTTGGAGTAAACATGTGCGCATTCTTTTGGAACAAATTGCGATGATTTTGGAGGTGAAGTTGAATGACAAAAAACTTTATTGAGTAACAGGTGATTGGTTTGATGTAAGAGAATTAAGTATGGAATAATCAGTTAGATGCTTTTCGAGACGTTTATGAATACAAGAATTTTTATAAAACGGTTCAATGCTGATGTTGGTTTTGAAATTGTTACGGTGTTTAACCAAGCTCAGTACAATTGCAATAACAAGAAAAATGGGCCAGAGGAACTCTTAGCTATCACTTAACAAAATCGACAACAAAATAAAACGAGAAAAGGGACAACAGCAACAAAAAAAGAACAGAAATAACAACAAATGAACTAAGCAAAAATATCACTACGAAAATATAAAACAATTGATTAAATGAACACCGGATATTGGCCAATATCTTAAATAAACTCTCATTAAATTTGTTCTCGATAGCGTCTGATTCTCCAAATTCACATAACAAAAAAAGTAAGAAAATCGATGTGGAGAATTCTTATACTCATATTCAGCCGCCCCCTGCCTTCTCCCCGAGATATTTTTTTTAATTGGACTAGAGGTGGTAATTTATGCGGTGTTTCATTTCACGGAACCTTTTTTTCTGCGGGTACTAAATTTTGCAGATCGAGGGCATTCTGCAAAATCCGCCAAAATTTGGACAAAAATTGTCGTGCTCTGGGGCAGGAATCAGTGCAAGGTCAAACGGATGAAATTTATCGCAGATGAATTGCCGAGTGATATTTTCCATAATAAGAATCTCGATGAGATTGTACCCATCTCGACCCTACACACACAATTTTCAGAACCAAAATCTCTGCTAATTAAAATGTAAATACCGACTAAATTTCTCTTGAAGAGTGGACTCCTCAACATAAACTTTCTAGTAAAAATACCTTTACCGCTAGAGAGATGTTAAGGCACTAAAAGCTACAATCAACACTAATTATTATCACTTTTCCCGGCATTGTGGCGCATTTTGCGGGCTAGAATGAAGGTTTTAGCGGGCCCCATGTGCGCGCGTCATAGTTCAGAGTGTCTCTGTGATTTTAAGACCTGCGGTTACCACACACACTGACCTTGTACACCATAAAATATCTACACGTCTGATCCGCTTTGAAAACTTTAATAACCCTGTCGGGCATTTCAAGCGATTGATCACTGGTGTTTATGCACTCTGTGGACCCAAATCCTCTCGGTAGGCTGGCCGGGGACTTTTTCACCCCGTGCTTGGCCATCACGTGTAGATCGTTTGTGCCCTCGTGATCCACGCTGAGAAGGTCCCTTTCACTCTTGGAGATGAGCCTTGAGGAAAAAACAACATGGCGGCTGTTATATTGAGATTCTTTCTTAGTTGTATTGAGCTCTTTTCACAGGCGATTGTTGCCAAGAAGATTCTAATTTTTTTGAGTCAAGGCAAGCCTTAGAGTGCTAAGGTGCCAAAAAAGAGGCCAAAAAGTGTCTTTAGAAGAAGGAATGTTCAAACACTTTATACAAGGATAAGTGTACGTTTATTGGAAAACATGTTACCACTAGTTACCGGTGAGTTTTTTGAAACAGATAACTCAATTCTGTTCGTCGTTCGTTTTAAAAGGAGCTAAAATTTGCCGAGAGAAGGTCGAAATTCAACATTTGATTCGACAAAAAGTTTGTGCCAAAGGAATTTTTGTGCGGAAACAATATAATCCGACTACAGCCCGCTTAAACCAAACTGACATTCTCTTGTTACCACGCTAATCTCATTAATTCTTATGTTTGTGATCCGATGTCATCCCTCACTGACAAGCGACGAAATCAGGTCGGGATTAAGTGCTGCAAAATCGAACAAGTCTGAATATTAATTCTTGTACAAAAAGCCTATCAACGCGAATGGTGATCTCAATATCCACAGCCCTGTTTCCCAAAGCTTTAAATACAATTTGGTGTTTGAGTAATTACATATTTTCTTTCCTCGTTGACAAAGCAAAGGTTGTTATCGCAGAAACTGATCGTATTGCCAAGTCGTTTCGATATCAACAACAATAATATAAGAATATTATTTAAAAATACACACAAGATATCCCTCTTAATCAAAAAGTTAAGTAATATAGCAATGATATCAAGATATAATAAGACATAGATTCATTACTTATTCAAGTTCTCAGTAGAGGAAAAATAGATACAAAGCGGAATTCTCGGAAAATTTCCAAGAGTTTTGTGAAAATTCTTGTCTTAAATCAGCGTAATCAGCGTTGTCAAGTACCTTGATTGTTAACCAATTTAATCTTACCCTGCGCGAGAATCTGTCAAGAGTATGTTGAACTTTGACTCGAGGCACACGAAAGTTTAAAAATGTGATCATTAATAATATACCTCCATGTTCATTGTTGACGTCTATTTTAAGGAATCCAAAAAGTGGATTTTATAGAAGTCCAACTGAATTCAATGGAGTAGAGATTTAATCCCAGTCCTAATGGATAGTGTCCTTTAAGTATAATATGACCAAATAAGACTTCAAAAGCCCTTGATTGCATATTGTTCCGGAAAGCGAAATTTTGACATTCAGTCCGAAAGAAAACGTCAAAAGTTATAAATATTCTTTTGAAGGAAGTCGAGGCACTTTAAATTCTTGAAAATTACTTCAACTTCCTTTATGAGGTTTTCAGAATATGTATTCGTGAGAAGTTGCAACCCTTCCTCGAAAATTCTGACTGGAATGTTCGACATCATCACTTCTGAGTGTCTATTTCCGCTGACAAAAATACAATTTAACAATTCAGTGCGACCACGAAAGTAAAGTATCGTTACTCAGAAGAATGATTCCAATTTTCATAGCGTTACTGTTTCCCATTAACTGAAAATAAACAAGGAAAGGGAAGAAAAATCGACCTACAAGACAAAACAAAAAGGTTGCAATATTGTTTCACAGGCCACCTCTCTTAGTTACAAGACAACATACACTATGTCTAACTCGCGAAATGGCTTAATTCTCAGGACAACCTCTGTCCTATGGACGTTTTGTACTTACTTAGTGTTCTTGGATAGCGTTCCAAATGCACTGAGTCGATTTAAAGCTTTCTTCACCTTCAGGGTCGTTGAAGTCGGATGAATATGCTAGAGAAAAGAAATTGCACAAAATCAATAAAGATCCCCAAGGGATTCTTTCGTCATCAACACATTCCCAATACAAAAGCCCGCAAACAGCCAGCGGTCCCTTGAGCGCTATTTGGAATGCGTAGGTGCTGGGCCCAACACAGCGGCTAAACGTCTGCGCACGTGCGAACCTAGTAACGACTAGCTGGTTTGCTTTCAGGCTGTCAGAAATAAATTGTGTTTTAAAAGCATACAACCTTTTCAAAACAAAATGGTAAATAACAGGAAACCCGTTATTGAATAAGCTTTGTGTTCGAAAAGTCTGGAGTTTTCCAGGCCTTTCCCCTACTTTCGTTTTCTTGTATAGTTAGAAATGAACGTTTCAAATTTCTTTCGTTTACTTTACAAGACAGCAATTATTTCTTATGTTCTCTTTTGAAATTTTGCGCGGAAAATTGGCGCGTGGGCGGCCAGAATTGATCCCCACACCCATGCTTTGAGTTTGACCGCTAAGTTGCCAGACCCAGACGAGCGGAAGTTTAGTGCTCACATCATCACCTCACCTAAGCGAGAAAAATATTTCTGTCGACGGAAAAGTGTTTGATGTTAAAAGAAGAAAGAGAGAGAAAAAAAAACACCCACCCCAGTGATCCATTTAATACGTCAAGGAGCACACCTTTGTTCAGTCAGGCAGCCAACATATAGACGTGCCTGAGAGGTACCCTTGAGATTTTTCTGATAAAAAGCCAAGTGCTTTCATTCTTCAGACAATACGAGTTTATTTAGAACCCAAAAGTCCTCCGAGAGGTGAAGCGAGTATTGTCTCACGAAAGGAAGTTCTACTAAGACACAAAACAAACACCTCAGGAATGATGGTGTGATTTTGTGATACGAAAACCTCTTCACTTCAACGAAAATATCGATGGAGAGAGAGACGGTTTAAAGGAGAAAGCATTCCCAAAAATTATAAATACGTGAAAACATGAAGCATAGCCTCAAATGACATTACACAAATATCTCAATGAAAATCAATACGCGCGTAGCTACAAATATCCAGCATGCATGACTAAACGCTGAACATAGCATTGTTTTGATCTTCAACTGGAACAATTACAGCTCACAAAAGCGGAGTTGTAATTAAGGAAAAGCACCAGGCTAGAAAATAAATGGAATTTTTTTTTTCCGGAAAACGTTCCGACTTTCCCAAATAAAAGTCGTACAAACGAAGTATAGTTGAGTCACAGCGGCTGAGATAAAGCGCACACTCTGATTGGTCAAAAAGCCTACCGTGCGCCAGTATAGACATTGAACAACATTAGTGCTCACGTTCAACTGGTTCGTCGGCGTGCCAGTCACCGTAATCTTATATTCCAACCGGGCATGCGGTTTGTTTCACCAGTTAACGGCAGACAACATTTACTTTTTCGTAAACATAACTGATAAAGCAGGTCTACTTTTTTCTCGAAAAGACCACGAAGCATAACTCGAAACCGGAGAAGACAAAAAAAAAAGCACCATAGTTTTGCAACAACACCAACGAAGAGAAAAAATAAATAAGAAAAACAAAGACGATATTTTCATCCCGGCGTTAGAAAAGCGCCAACTATATATAGATTGTAGAAGGTGTTTACCATCGCGTTACGACTTACAACAAGCTGATTAGCAAAAAAAGCAAAATATCAATAAGCTTTACATTTTCATCGAAAAATTGGCTCTGGAAACCGAAAGTGACTAATGCAGGATATAAATTAGGTTTTATTTTGTTTTTGACAATGATTACCACATCAATGGGAAGACACTTGATTTTTTTGTCGTTCAAAACAATTGAATGCTTACTCATCCCTAAACTGTACAAAGCTACCGACAAAGTTTAAAGGCTCAAAAAGCGCGCATCCACTCGTGCAACTAGCCTACCAACCTCAGGCGTTCTTTATATTGCGACAATTTCATGGCAATCACCCCATTGGGTACGACCTCTAAGGCTAGACTTAAATGTCAAACGCCTGTCCCTTTTAGAAAAAGAAAACTTCTTGAGGTGATCAGAAATTACAAGACAACTGAAACCATACAATTAGTTCGTTGGAGGAGCTTTCCTTTAAGTATCTCAATGATCAGCAGGAAATGCAGGTGATATGTTGTTATCAATAAAGAGAACTATGAACTAAGTTCTACCATCAAGTTACGCAACTCACTGCAGTGAACGATATTGCTGACAAATGTTTCAACACAAGAGGTCACAAAAATATATGGAAAAAAAAAGACCGAATGGCTTAAATACATAAAACGAGTCTCCATATCAATATAACCACTTGTGTTGAAATTTGTCATCAAAATCCATTGATTCATTAGTTCACGCATAATTGAAAGCCTTCAAAACAACTTTCTCTCGATCGTGTTTTTATTAAAAAAAAACATCAAAAATCCGCGAAAGAAAGCAAATATAAAATAAATATGCGAAATATTGTGAACAAAACAATTTTGGTGCACTTTGACTCTACGCAAAACAAGAACGTCAAAGGCAAAGGTAGTCTCCTTGAAAGAATTAACCCCTAGCATGACATATTGATTCCGACAGTCCACACAACTAAACAATCCTGAAAAATCAAAGTAAATAATTTTCCATGACTTTTTTGTGGTTTTTGACATAATGTCAATCTTTCAGCTGGAAAAAACCAAGCCTACGGAGGTAAAATATCTCTCTAATGACGCTACACACACCATGTACCGCGACCACAAGATTTTGACGTCATATATGCATGCTTGTTCCGTTACCCTTTCGACCTTTCGATATATTTGCATAAACTAACGTAAATGGAACGTTAAAGAATTTGGAGCATTACTTCCACATATACTGTTGATTAATCATACCTGATATGGTTTTTGAGAACTAAAATCTTTCGAAAAAATGTTAATTACTGTTCCACTGGAGTATCACTATTGTAGAGAGCTGAACCATCGTCACATATTTGAGAGACACTCTTGAGACATTTTTTAGACGTAAGAATCTGCTATTTCGTAACCATTTCGTCGGGCACTTAGTTAGTCTTAACTTTGCCTTAATCTTGAAGAAAAATGTTGCTGGAACCTATGGCCTTTTCAGTTGTCCCGACAAAAATTGACCATTGGCCAGATTCGATAAACAGTACCAGAGACACTGGCCTTGAATATCTTTACGTGGGGTCAGCGTGAGAAACTCGCTAAACAAGTAATTTGTAAATCCCACAAACTGTTAGACCTCCGTAGGCTGAGGCATCCGGTGATACCAGATCTCGACAGCCTAACAAACAACGTGAAACAATTGCTTACAGGTTATTATAATTGGTAACAGAGAAAATGAGAGAAAAGGCTCGGTCATAATTTTGCCGCTCCGTTTCCTTTCCCAGATCGCGTTTGTTGTGTTATTTCGTTTATGACAATCTAAATTTAGAAGTTTACTGAATAACTTTGAAACTACTATCATTAAATTTTCGGTCATTAGAAGATCGCTCCGGTGGCGTGGGAATACTGACGACGGTAACCCATGTGAAACGTGTAAAATCTGTAGTGTCTGCATTCTTCACTAACCCAAAATAGTCTGAAGCATTTGATTGTGGTTTTCTTTCTTCTTTTACGGTAAATGAAGCGAATCTAAACACTTTTCCATCGTGTGCGATACAAATTCAATATTCGCCGACAAGAAGATTTCTCGCCATGAGTAAAAACACGCACGCTTGTTTTGTAGCGTAAATAAAAGAGGACCAGACCCAGAGCATTGAAAGTATTGACGTTATATTTCTAATCTACTGCATGAAAAATCGTTTAAGAATATAATCTAAATAAGACAAAAATAACACTCACCTGGATTGGCTTTTTGGAAGGATCTGTACAAGAAGACGACACAAATTCAAATCAATCGTAACATAACACTAAGCAGGCAAAATTTGCCTTTCGTGGACGAAGTAACATCTTGAAAAAGATCATTCTAAATTCCCATCCCAACATTTATAACGCTTGCTCAGGCACATCAGCAATATTGAAAACTATAATCTTTGCAAATTACATTTTAATAGCAGCTGATTTTTTAGTTTACGTAAGGGAGACTCTTAAGTATCTTTCAATAATTCAATCTGAAAAGATATAACTCTAAATAAATGTCGTTTAGATAAGAAAAAGCGCGCGCCTCTGCCGCAGTTCACAGTGCGCCATATCAAAATACGCTTTGCTACAAAAAAAACACGTAATGTCTGCTTAACATCCGTTTTTCTTCAACATTGTGTCATAAGTTTTAAAGTGCTTCACGAAAATTTCCGTGAAAAGATTGAAGTAATGGAACTTTTTATAAGTAAAAGTCCGATTAAATTATTATACCTGACGATATTTCAGGAACGGAGAGGCGAGACTGCAACGTACGTTGCCTTTCGCTGCAATCGGACGAACTTCGCTGTACTGTGTCCTAAATAGAGATGAACAAACCAGTGATGTAAATGTATCGCCAGTGATTCCCAAATTAATCAATCTGTTCAATAGTATTGTTTCAAAATTAGCTACCTCTAGAGACATGGTCCTTATTCTCGCCTAGCGACCAAATCGTAGGACTAGGCGAAATTGTGAACTGCCCAATTCACTCTCAAAGGAAATTGGATATTGCTCACGCGGTCCAACATGGCTGTTAAAATCGCACACCTATATCGCGGAATTTGGACCTCAAAGCGAAGATGTGGTTGAGTAATCGTGTTCAATCGATCGTCTCAGTCTTGCTTTTTTTTTTACACAGCATGTGAAATTTTGTGCTCCAAACGGCAAACGGAAAAGACGCGTTTTGAGTCAACAAAATTCAGGAAACAAATTAAATTCACACGTCACGCTTTTTGAACAACTGATACATACACACATGTAGCACATACCTTCGATTGCGTGATTTTCAAGTTCTCTTTTCTATGCGGGGTCGTTTCCATGTCTTTAAAAGCTGTGGGAAAAACAAGTCACGAGCGGGGGTTAAAATTTTCGGGTGAAAACATGGCGTTTCCATGTTTCCTCAACACGCACAACTCCCATGGCGGTAAAAGTTTTCTTTGCGAAGAAAGAATTCTATTGAATCAATTTCGTTTAAACGTGTTTAAACATGAATAAGTGAACTATGATTAAAAGACACAAGGATTTGCTAGATTTATCCAAGCGTGGCCAACATATTCTAGAAAATTCACCTGCGTTTTAAATAAAAGAAGAACGCAAAATTTTATTTCACACTTAAAACTGTTGGCGTAGTTCAGGATAATTAAACGTAAAGAAAGTTTGTTTGGCGATGTGATTTTTGACCAACAAAACGCCGCTCGAAATTTCAATTATCCTTTAGAAAGGACGTGACATCAAAGCCGAAATAATTTTGTAGGTAATCTATTCAACCGCGTTAAACAAAAGAGAAATTAAGGCCATCAGTACCGGAAGAAAAAGAACCCTCGCTTCACAATTGACAGTCATTAATGAAATCTCCGCATTGTAAACGGCGATTGAATGTACCGCTTCTTTGACCCGGCTTTTAACATTGAAAACTTTGCAAAAACATTAGTTTGCCCACCACAGCACGTTTGGTTTCCGTTTCGATTCTGATTGGCCGATCCTATTCTAAAGAAATTTCAAATGGTATCTTATTGTTAAGAATATCTTTTTCCAATTAAGAATTTTCTGATACAAATGTGCAATGAACCCCAAATAGCTCGGGAGAAAAATAATTTAGGGACGTAAAATGCTGCTTCATATTGCATAGGTGAATGCTGAACGGGATGCGATTTAAATTTTCCACCATGTAAATAAAAATTTCATCTTGTATTGTTTAATTACAAATAGACCGACTCAAACCTGAATTGAGATCACCATTTTTTTAATACTCCTAAGATACTCTCAATAAAAAACAAACTTTGTGCCTACAGGGTTGTTAAGAAAAACTCCCATAAGTCCATCAAAAATTATTCTCCCGCCCTTGCAATACCACAAAGTTCTGAACTTTGGCAAATTCTAATGGCCTACTTTGTAGCGAACGTGATAACAAAGCTGGGAAGCGTAGACTCGTGCTTTCAGATTTGCTAAGATGGTTAATCTCCCCTTACCAAACTTCGCTCCCTTCAGAACCTTCGACATCTATTTCATTAACGATCGCCATTCCTTTTTGTTCCAAACCCGAAAAGGACGAAATTCGTAGGGTAAGCTTGGGTCAAGTTTCATTTGTGGAAACACGAAAAAACATGAAACTATACGACAAAGGGTTGACATTGTAAGGGCCTATTTACACGGTACGACTTTGTCGCATGCGACAAGCTTACGACAGGCTTACGACACGAATTGTTTCGTGTAAATCAAACCTACAACTCGCTTACGACTCTTAAGTCATGTCGTAGGCCTGTCGTAAGCTTGTCGCATGCGACAAAGTCGTGCCGTGTAAATAGGCCTTAAGACTACTCTGCACAGAAGTAATAACTTTGCGAAAAACAGGAATGTGAAAAATCTTTACTAGATTAAATGTTCAGTCATAAGTTCAAAAAGTCTTAGGCGCAAAATCATTTTGATGAAACTTTCGATCAAGAAAATTTCCAAACACAAATACAAATGTAAATTTTAAACAAACCTGGCATGTTCCGCTTGACTAACATTGACACATGGATCGCGCAGGACAGACGGTCCCTTGCCTAAACATCACGTGAATAAAGAAATAATTATACATACATGAGCAAATAAAAACATTAACATATAAATAAGAATTGGACATTTAATTAAATTTAACTTTCGTTAAATTTCGTTTACCTCTGTGGCTGTAATGTTTTCGAAGTTTGTGCCATTGACTTCAAGTAGCTGAAAGGATGAGAAAAAAAAACCAAAAATTATCGGAAAAAGCACATTGAAGATTCGACTTCTGCCTTTCAAAAATTGCTTCCTAAGGATAAAATATAATAAATGAAAACAAGGGATTTTATAGTGGAAATTCCTGGGCGAATTGGAATTTAGAATTTGGTTTTTGTGGAGGGACGAAAACCGGCGGGCCCGGAGGAAAATCCTCAGAGCAAGGACGAGAACCAACTATAAAACTCAACCTAAATGTAACACCAGGTTTGGGAATGATGAGTAACCACAATGATCATAACATCTGTGATAAAAACGAAACAGCAAAATACCTGGTCCCCTCTTCTGAGACCTGCTTCTAACGCTTTACAATCTTCTTCAACCTGAGAAAAAAAGTGAACATGTCAATTTTAACATCAGTATTGAATAGGCTCAAGTACAGACAGGCCCACGCGTGTAAGAAATGATACCTGTGCATCAGGCTGGTAAAAGAAGCCTGCCACGAACGCCAGGTAAATATCTTACTCGCTGCAAACGCGTAAAGCGTTTACCGGTGCCGAACGCGGGAAAATAGCCGCAAGTCCTATTTTATTATTATTAGGCCCACGATTTGTCATGGGACTCATAACATTTCCATTGAATCAAACTCTTTGACTGAGGCTTAGTAAGCAAACGCAAAAATAAAATAAACGACAACAGCTACTGTACCTTAGATACAAATATTCCAAAACCAGATTCTTTTCCGCCCGCAATGGTAAAACCTAAAGGCTTGTCCTTGGACGGGCGATCCTAGCAAAGATAAAGGAAAGAAAAAAAAAGGTCATCACATGCTAAAACATTTCTCGGGAAAGACAAAAAAATCGAATGAAAACTGTAACTGTAATTATTGATCTTAAGGAGTGATCAAAAGCCCAATTTATAATGTCAATATCAGTCTGTAGTTATACAACTGATCACAAAGATTAGATGACCATGAAGCAGGAGTTCGATTTGTTACGCACGAGTATGTACACAGTCGTACGATTTTGCTAATCACTCGTATGGTTACAGAATTAGTTGGACTCTACTCAGTCCTATTGAGGTACCATAGGTAGGCAGAAAAGTATCTCACCATTGTAATCCGACGAGATTTTGCTTTAGCCGCGCAAGCAATGTTCAACAGTCCAAGCTGACCGCTCATTTGCTGTTTGAGCAAAAATAGAAAAGACAGAAAAATTAAATCACATCAAAACTTTCAGGGGTTAATATGATATTTCAATTCCACTAAAGAGAAAAAAAAGGAAAACGCCAAAAAAAAAAAATCCCTGTGGTTACCTGAAACTCGAGACCTTTTTCAAAGGTCTCCAGATATCCTTCCATAACAGTATCACTTTCAAAATCTCCGTAATGGTTATTAACCCACAACAACATGGCGCGCGTTACCTGAAATGAAACAAACCAAGTCTCAACCAATCAAATTAAATTGACACCAAAAACGATTTTAAAACATGGCCAGTGACTTCTACGTGTGGTAAGACTGAGCCAGTCTCCAAAACAAGCCAGAAAACAACGGCATACACAACTGCAGGAACAAATATCTTAGTAAATCAGATGCTCTTAAGAGAAAAGCTACCAATGCGAGATCACAAGTGGCTTTCATATGATTATGAACCAGATTGGATGCAACAGAGGCGCCTGATTTATATCAATAAAATGACGCAGGACAGAATTCTGGATAACAGGTTCATCACAGTCCTTTTCCAATGGCTTCATTCTAAAAACTAAACAAACAATAATTTTTGCACCCGCAATCAGTTTGCATTATTTTTTTAACAGTCTGCCGGCAAACCATGTGACTGGAATCGTCAACTTCGATGAAAACCGTAAAAGAATCTGTACCGATGTGTCTCTAAAGCAGGAAATTTCTTTGCGTCGTTGTGTGTTTGTTTAAAGGTAGAGCAAAAAAAACCTACCTTGTCTCGAAAACGTTTTTCGAGGAACCAGTTTAGTAAATGACCGCAGATCTCTGAGGGGCGATCAATAAAGGTTTTGTAGGTCAGCAAAAGATCTTCTACGTAAGTTGGATCGATCGCTGAGTGGTCCGCTACTACGTGACTAATAAGCTTATGGGCGGTTGCCTGGCAACGAAAACAACAGTAACATTTCGACTGAGTCTCGTTAAACTAAAATCAAAGTAATCTTAACAGCCTGAGGAGACCTCATTGTTACATATCTGTAACTCAACATCTCCCTTATGTTAACCTGCGACTGCTAAGAAATATTTTAGCATAATCCTCTTCACGATGAACAAAAGAAAAACTGAACGAAAACGTCATTGTTGGAAAAAAGTGGAGCAAGCTAACGGGTTTTCCAAGCAAATCTTTTTATAAAACGTCCCTAGTATTTCTTTCAGTTATGGTAATTAATCAGGTAACCTGTAATCAAACGTTTTTTCCTTGTTGATCAAGAAATCGAACAGCAGGAAAGTAAGCCTACAGGAAGATTCTCACTAGAACCAAAGCACAGGTCCTTGAGGGATCTGGTACTCATTTCCGTGTCAGAATCCTCCAGAATCTCTCGCGCTCGCATTGTTCGCCGGCTCAAAACTGAACGCGTGGCTTCGCTACTTTGTCGCAGCACCAAAATAAAAAGAGCTTTTTCGCAAGCTCAAGGAGTGGATGGATTCATACAATCGTCGAATATTCAATAGGGGACTCACCTTAATGACTACTTGACCCTGTCGACTGCCTCCGTCAGTCTTCCTAAATTCCGTGATCATGACAACCTCACCGCCCTCCTCAATACATTGAATGCTTCTTTCTCCTTGAGTGAGAATTCTGTAGTAATCCGCTTGCGCTACACACACAAACTGAATGACAAAATGAAACAAAGTAGATTGAGGGCGACTTTTCGCAGACGAGTGAGATATCAGGAAGTTATCAGCTAGGGAATGATTTAACTTCAAAAAAGAAAGTAGAAGACACTTGTCCCACAGACTATAGGACTTTTACTTCTCGCAAGATTCATTTGATCAGTCGTTCTCGATAACTATTAAGACGGTGGTGAGTTCGACCCTCAAACATTCACCGCAAGCCCAACATTTCATATTACCAATACAAATAAGGCGGTTACAAACTCGAGCCTCAACTCCCCCTAATCTTAGCCTGCCTCTTTCTGCAAAACATTCGAGTGCCTCGTAGCTGTAGTTAAAGTCCACATTACATTTTTTGGTTTGTTCTAGTTGATTGGCCTTACCTGACAATCATCCGCACGTGTCTTCATAATTCCCTTATGGCGCATTTTTTTCAGTGTGGGTTCCACACCAAAACTGTCTCCAAGATGCAGGGTCACGATCTCTTCCCCAGGGACAATAATTTCAACTGATCCGTTGAGTATAACACACCAGGAGTCCAGCTGCCGAGAGATACACATTCGGAAAGCTGAAGATAAACTAATTTAACGCGAATTTTAACTTTATATGAGACAACATGAGCCGAAAGTAAACATTTTGTTGAAGACGATGTGAATGAGTAGTTCCTGGTCATAGTCTTTGTAAGATTCAAATCTCATTCTAATGTTTAAACTGTTCTTTAAGAATTCTCCCGATAAGACAATTTCCACTGAGTGAATGCTCGTTGGGAAGTTCAATTAATTACTCTATCGACCATGTAAACATCATAAAAACACACTCCATCCAACTAAATATCTGTATAAAGATCCATCTATCCTTCAAAGGAAATGCCTACTAGTTTTGATTCTGTCTTCAAACAAGACGAATTCACTTACATCTAGGTAAAACTTGCTCGACATCTTTTAAAAGAGAGGCACGATTTTGGACGGTGCACACTGGATTGAGGGTGAAACCTGCTGCTTTTTAACTAAAGGTCAAGATCCCTACAAACCTCCTCTTCATTTTCCATCACAACGGATCCCGCTTTTTCTACAACAGCGAACACCATCACAGCGCATAGCTCTTGCCGTACGTTCATGGTCATGTTGGCAAACGCCTGCGTTATCATAAGAAAAATACGATCAGCAGATGACTGCTTGAGCATTTTAAAACTAGTGCCAAAAGTGGACCAGTAGTGAATTGATTGGTCTAGAAACTCGCTCTGCCCTCTCAACCAATCAGATGCAAAACTAAACTGAACCCATCGCGAATTGGTTACTCGCTTTTCCCGCGCGTCAGGCGGTTTACGTGTGTTTGCTTTGAGTTCTGATTGGCCTCTACAGGCATTTTTCTTTGTTCTGATTGACAGTTGGATTACATTCAGTTCCACCACACTATCGAAAGCGCCCTATACATTCAATACGAGGTCAAAAATGTACTTGAGCACGATTAACAAGGAAACTGTCTAACGGTGTAGAAAATGATGGCCGGTACCCCCAACCTAACGATCGTTTCGATGGCTTAAATATCAATCAACAAGATAAAAACTTACCGGCAAATGTTGCATGAAATCCAAAAGGGCCTCTGTAAAAAAAATGGTTCAACGAAACTTGATATTTAACAAATAAAATCTTTAACAAAAAAAAAACCAAATAATGAAATTTGAGACTCACGGATATCACTTTCTGTTCGATCAGACGGCTCTTTCTCCAGGCAATCTCGCACCACATCACGCACCATTAAAGACTGTGACAAAAAAAATTAAGCGTTTTACTCTCTCACTGAAACTTTACTCGATACAAGGTAGGTCTGCAATGCGTACATGTGCGAGCGTAAGTCTTAATTTCACCAGTCCTAGTAATTTACTCGGATTTAGGAATAGATGCTTTATCACCGAGTAGAACGCAGAGGTTTTTGTCTGGTGAAATCAGATTGACAAAATTATGTCGTCATTTGGGGAGGCTGTAAATTGTCCATCTAATTGAAAAAAGATCTACTTGTAAATTTGACGACAGCGATAGTAATTTATAGCTGTAGTACCTCTCGTGAAGAATGTGATTCTTCTTCTTCATCGTCTTCATCAGAATCAACTAAAAAACAGCGAAAAAATATTTATGCGTACAGTCAGCTCTGTTCTGAGAGACATCTTTTCAAGACGGGAACCTCTCCTAAACGAACACTTGGAGCCACGAGTTCCTCAGTGTAGATACGATGCCTAGCCGCTGTTCTAGAAACGAGCCCGCTCTCCCTACCCAAAGAGAGGATCAAAGATGGGAGCCGATAAAACGGCGGGAGGCGAGCCTATTCCCAGTAGGGGTTCTAACGGTTATGCTCTTTCACTCACTCACGGGACTGTGGTAGGTCTCGCGATTTCATAAGTGATCAAATGGTCATAACAGATTAAGTGGTATTTCAAGTAATATTTAGTGTTCCTATAAACTGCCTACAACTTAAGGAAGACCATGCAAAAAAATCATAGTTCGGTACACAAAAATAGGCAATAATAAACTAAGACAGACAAGGGATAGTTCCGAATAAATAAAAATGAATAAAAGAAGCACAAGTCGCGACAAAGCTCCTCAAACACTGTCAAAACTTACGAGAGAAAGTGTTTTGAGTAACCATGCCGAATGCTGTTTTGGAGCCTTTTCCTCACAAAATTAACTTGATCTATCTGTTTTTTCTCATCTTTCTATCTATTTATATGTATTATTTTCTTGTTTCGTTAAAGTTACTGTAAAACACAACCCTTGCATAAAAAAAAAAACGTCTCAATAGGATTCACTCACCAATACTTTCCACCAAGCCTGTAAGATCCAAATCATAATTGTTTATGGAGGACGAATCTTCAGACGCACTCCTCTTCATGTTTTTATCGCTTCTTATGATAATCTCCTTTACGTGCTGAAGTTCCATGGGCAACTGTTCATAAAACAAAGAAGAGGTTGTGCCTAGGTATTTTTCGGGGATCAAACAATTCACATACATTTTCATCCATGAGTAAATAAGTAGTTCGCAAACAAACCAATTTAACCCACTTTTCTAAGTATCTGACGGCAAAAACTGAGCTAATTCGAATCCTCGCTGGAGCTAAAAACATTTTTTGTCCAACGCTCGAGAGTGATGTTTCAGATCTTCCTTTATTTACGGTATTGAACTATCATTCGCTGTTGCAGTTAAAATTGTAAACACTTGTCTTCTAGGGTAGGATCTGAGGTATGTTATTAGGCTGTAAATAACAATGACAACAGACACAGTAAACCATTGAAATGCAGAAGTTTTCAGAAAGAGTTTAGAAACGATTTTCATTTCAGAAGGAAGAAAGCATGAAATTCTCCACTCTTATACATACACTGCATGCAATACTTAAGATTGTTTACTAAATGACAAGCGCATTGTGTCGTTGATTTTTTGTTTGGTTTAATTTCAGATTTAGCTGGTTTTTTTTTTAATTTCTTAGTTATTTCGTACTTCGTAAAGGAAAATAGCAAGGGAGGCCGGTAAAAATCAAAGATAAAAACATCGGTGCTGCAGTTAAGGTTCTGAACTCCCTAATTGTGCTTAAACTTTTGTTTTTTGTCTACACATATACTAAACAAATCTGACGAATGTTTTCAGGAGTTGGTTAGTTTGACATGATTGGAATGTTATTGAACACTGTGAACGATCACGTCCAAAAACAAGACCTGACACGTTTTCCTTTTGGAAAAACGTGTCTGTGGCTTTATTTGATCATTACTTGTTCATCATCGGGTATTGGTCCTCCTATCCTGTAATCCTGGGTTTCCAGAGCAAGAAGACGCTCTAAATCATTCTTGGAATACGAGTGTCGCTGAAATGGCTCGAACAGATCCGTGTTTGGAAAATCAATCTGTCGAAGAAATAATAACAATCGCTTTTGTTAGTACTTATCTTTTTAAGGTTACCTGCGCGGGACCTGTGCCCACTGCTGCACAAACAGTAGGGAGATTTTTTACCTAACTAAATTAAATGTCTCTTTTTTTTTTCTTTATATATTTCTCTTTTCATTTATTTTCCTCAGATTTACTATCTTGGTCAGTCACAGCAGTGTCAAGTAATGGCATGTTCCCAAGAATTTACTGGTAGAATTTCCTAGACAGCTGGAGAAAGTTGGGAAAGCCAGCTTCTAAGCCCTCAGTACAAGGGGAATTAGACTAAGCATATGTAAAACGTGCATATATAAAAAGTGATGACAACAGATATAGAATAAGTGGATTGCAGTCCTGTAACGTTATTTGAGGAGAAAAAATCTTAAATGGCCAGCTTATTGAGTGCGAATAGAGACAGTAGTTTACAAGACCAAGCCCTATATATGTAACTCTAACTGGTCACAGTCAAGTGGATCGCCAGAGATGAATGGAAACGTCGCAAATATGGTAACATATTACACAAGACCTACCACGATCAGTTCAGAGTATTCCAACACAAGGCAGTCTGTGCCTCTCTTTCTATTGCGTGGTTGTTTGCCAAAACTGCAATAAAAACGCGGACCATGAAACTTTTGCATATATTGTAAAAGAGCAACACACAACACAACGCAGAAATCTATATTACAGAAGTTTTATTGAAGAAGAAAAGAGCATTGAAGGAAAGAACACTTTGTCAAGCGCATGTCTTGTTTACGAAGAAAGGCATACTGCAAACGGTTATAAGTTATTTTAATCCCTTCAGAAGTTGGTGGACAGTATACTCCACCAGTAATAATAATACTGACTTCATCCTCCACTCAAGCTTTTAACCCTTAAGATCTGATTTGTATTTCTTCCTTATGTGTAATAAGTTAGGAGAATGTGGTGAAATATCAGGATAAAAACATCATGAAGTTTCCTATTCTCATATCATAAGGGGAAGCTGCATAAAAAAAGACGTTTTGAGTGTTGTCAAGTGAAAGAAATCTGAGTCTCCCCAGCCCCCCCCCCACCCCCCAACAAAACAAACTGCATGCTCCCATGCTTTGCTCTGATTCACAGAGTAATCTCTTCTGAGCTAGTCCTTTGCTAGGTCTATAACTAACACACACCCTGTTTACTGCTCAATTCAGAAATGTGAGATTCAATTCAATTACTTCTAGGAGTTACCTTCAGGGGTGCACACACCCTTTTACTTTTAGAATCAGTATTTTCTTGGTGAAGACACTACTTCAAACTTGTAAAATTATGCACATAAAGTAGACTGTACAGTGTAGCTACAAGATGTAAAAGTGATGCATATTAATATCACAGTTTCAATACCTGCTTCCTGGTAAATACATGCATCCCTCCAGAAAAACACAACCAGACAACAAAATATACCAGCAAGATGCTATATCATCTGCCCTGATGATCAAAATTTTAAAGACCAGCAATTAAATGCTTGCATTTAAAAATCAAAGTTGTTGGAAAAGGATTGAAATAAGTAGCACTCATCCATTGCTGATGATTACAGTAATAATTATATGTGTCCACTCAATGTTGTTCGAAAAGGCTTGATAAAAATAATTAGCATCCATCAGTTGCAGATGAGTAAAGTAATTTAAGTGTCCATAACTTGCAGTTTACAGAAAAGTTACCAATAACTTCAATTCATGGAAGGTTTACTAAAAGTAATAGACTTTGATGCTTAGAGATAGGACTGTTTCATTATATAATATTCAGTTACCATGTTTCAATGTAGTCCCAAAAAATTCTCATATTGAAAAATATAAAAAAGAAATTTCATTTGTTTCACAAGAGTAGCCCTTAAGAATACTTATTTACTTCAATTTCAGTTGTTACATTTCCCCTCTCATTGCTCTAAAAAAAAACGCTGATCAATTTCATGTTAGATGTTATTGTTAAACAAGAGGAGGCATAACTCAAGTCTGATTGCAATAAATAAACGTCAAACCTCCTGTCATTCATTTCTGCAGAAGGAAGTTCATTCAAGGTCAGACTCTAATCAGCACACAAGTGTAACAGTTTGCTTATTGCCCAGGAAACAACTTACATGTAAAGTAAATAGTTAGAATCTTCTGCCTCATATCTTGCTGTCTCTGACATAGTCCTGTGATATTCAAGGAAAAGGATTTTATTAGGATTGAGTTTTGGGCAACAAATGCATTAAGACGTTTTGCACTGACTTGGCTAGAACTTCAAGTACAAATGATCCAATAATGTAACACTATGCACTATGTACATGTGTGTCAATTAGATTTTCTTTTGTTAAAAAATTAATGCAGCTTCATGATCCTCAACAAAAGAGTGTTTTAGTACTCTTTTAATTTCAACTAAGAGGGAAGGTATTTGTCTGCCATGGGTAAATCATTTTGAGATATACTTCTCATGAGAAAATTTTGAAACACACATTTATTCACACAGAACTGAAGATCTAACTCAAAATCTGACAGAAAAAAAATTAATATTCTGAGAAGATGGTAAACAGTCACTTGAACTAATAACATAACACAGTGGATGTTTTGGTTGCTGGGCACATTTACATAGCAATAGAAAACTTTCTTTTAGTATACACTTTGCATTATATTAGGAAAGTAGTATGGTAACTGACAAATAATGAATCTATGGTCCCTGGAGATCTTTCTCTTTCATATTACACTAAACCCTTAGTTATCAAGATCTGATTGTTAATTCTCCCCTCTAGCTGCCACACATTTCCTTGTTAATTGGTGATGAGAATTTTGTATTAGATCAAGATAACAACTTGTTCTGTGTATTCTCATTATCTGTTTTCTGGATAATGTATAGTTATCATAGGGGGAAGTTAGGTGTTAATCACTTCTTGGGATTGAAGGGGTAAGTCCTTGTTTTTAACCCTTTAAACCCTTTGAGTGACCAGCATGTAATTTCTCCTTACAGTAATACTGCTGAATCAGTCATTAAGATCTTGAGAATAAGGCAAATGATTGCCAACCTAAAATGCTTTGATTGATAAACAAATTCTTCTTGTCAGTACCAAAGGAACTATATGAGTATGAGTATCAAGAATTGTTACACTCAACAGATTTCTAGTTGATTTCCCATTTAGATATTCATGAATGTAGAAGAGATTTCGCAAAGTTCACCAGGTAGATTTTGCAAATCATTTGTATACTGGTATTTCCATTTCACAAATTACAGATTTCTAGAATTTTGTGTCAGATCAAGATAAGAACTTGTATATTTCCATTTTGCAAATTACAGATTTCTAGAAATCTGTAATTTGCAAAATGGAAATATACTTGTCATATGTAAAATAGAAATCTGTAATTTGCAATTTCTATTTTGCAAATCATCAGTATATTTCCATTTTTGCAAATTACAGATTTTCATTTCATTTCATTTCATTTCAATTCATTTTGCAAATTACACTAAGCCTTTTAAAATTCAACAAGGCAAAAAGGTTTAAAGTTATTGCTGGGTAGCCAAAGCTGAAAAAGTGTGTTATTTATCCTCTCATAGTACTGACCTTACAGCTGACTCTGTCAGACCAGCCACTGCCTGCATCCCCCACAAATAACAAAAAATTGTCTCCACATCCTTAGGACAGAAAAGGGAAATCACATGAATCACTAATACTTCAAACTAACTGAGCACAAGGGCTGCACTGAGGTCCTAACAGTTTGGACCAACCATCTAATAAAATACATACCAGGTAAGAACCAATTACAACACTCATATTTACCTCAAAACCACCTTGCCATATAATAAACATTATTATTTAAATCAACCACTTATAATAATTAATATAAAGTCATATTACATACATAAATCTTAAAATATCAAATTAATGTTAAATTTGTACTAAAAGACTCCATTTAAACCAGTTTCAATTGAACAGTGTAAATAAAAGAGAGATTCATGTAAACAAATACAATCTTACACTCAATCCCTATCCCGTCCCCCCTCCTGACATACATATTTCTATTTTATTTAAAGTGAAGATCACTTTGGATCAAAGCACCACTTAAGAGAAACTGAAGAATTTCTCATGAAGTCATATATCAAGAGCCATTATTGTGGCATCATATCATGCAGCAAAAACACCTAAAGTTTTTATTAGCAGACTTTTGCAAGTACATGTATGATTTGTCCAGTCTTAATTTTGTGGGCTGAGACTGGGCTGAAGAGTACTTGTAAACAGCAAAAAACCTTAAAATCTTCAATGTGTAGAGCTACACAATCTTTAATGGAAAAAGTACCCAACTATAATCAAGGGGAAACTATCTGCAACAGAATCAAAGGTAATAAAAACTGCATTGTGTTTTTGGCAATTCTTACTCATAATTGTTTTGCTATTGTTTTTTTTAAGTGTGTGTGTGTATGTTGAGGACCTTTTATCCTCTCAAAATCCTTCATGGTTACCCACAATTTTGGATAGAAATGCATGTTTGAGTGTCACTATTGTAATTAAATTGCAATCTTTTACTGTTTGTATTCTGAGCTACACCTTGTCCCTCAGTATCATTTTTAACATTTATAATGTCATTTCAATGATCATCAAGACAATAGATAACAAAAAATTGTGCTGGACATGTAAAACCACACACAAGAAAGCAGGTGTGATGTACTCTAATGGCAAAAGTTTTCAATCTTGATATCTGAAGCACATAATGTGCATGGTGCTTAACCTGTAGCATCATTAAATTTAGGTCTGTGAATTTTATGAAACCAAATCATCACACTTGCTTAATTAATTAAGCACAAGGTAAGCTTGTGACATAAATATTTCAGTGAAAGATTCTTAAGTATTAGATATCAAGCAAAGTAAAGCTACTTCAAGGGAAATGTTTGACACTTGCAGTAATAACACAGAAACATTGGACAACTAATTGCATCCTAAAGAAAGCTTTGTCTTAATTCTTAGCAAATCTACTTAACCATTAATAGAACAAAAACATAAATGATATAAAAATTAGACTGGCAATGAGCCTAATGAATCTATGGTTAAATGTGATCAGTGCATACCATACACGATTGACCACACAATTAAGCAACACATGAAAAACATTTCAACATCTACAGTTGAGGAACCGGCTTACGTTTTCTGCTTGCAGGTATAAATCCAGACAAAGAAATACGGGTTTTTTAAATGCAATGCAGAATCGAATGTAAGATTAAAGCTTCTATATCAAGCTTTATTTATTCCTCAAAACACACTTGAAAACGAATTAACGAATTTCATTTAGTTCGGTTCAGCGTCATTCCGAGTGTATCTGAGAATAATTTTAACGTATATACAATGCAAAATGACAAGCCTAAAATCTATGATTCATTGTCTACGCTTTTTAAAATCAAATACCGACTCGAAGTATTTTTGTCGTCTTAAAATGGAAAATTACAAAACACTATTCACGTTGTGAAATTGACAACTATTCAGATCAACGTGATTTGCAAAGTTGTCGATTTCACGGATCATATTGCACAAGATCTAAAACAAACAGTTTTGTCTTACTTACCGCTTGTGTTCGCTGTTCTAGGGGCTTTTGAAGGCAGTTTATAAACTGTAAATTATTGTTCAAGTTACTTTCACCAAAAGCCGTGGTCATCTTGCTTCAAATATGTCGACGAAATGAAAAATGTTGTTCAACCGGTTGGTATTAAATCTCTTCTTGGAAAAACAGTCAGCTTAAGAATTGCTTCCTCGCAGAACGAAGCCATACGTGATTATAGGAGCTTTGAATTCAATGCACGAAAATTCTTGCATTCCAACGAGGAAATGAAAGACTATAATTCACTATCCGTCTGCACAACTCGTACATAACAAGTTAGCGTATTTACATTTCGCGGCTAACAAAATGGCGGTGTGTAAATAGCCCAGATTAGATCAAGCGTTGTCGTTGTGGATTATACCAGCCTCTTGTCTCCAGTTTAATCACACCAAATGTAATGGGCAGTCAAAAATCCTGGTTACTTGAATTCAGTCCAGATTTTTCTTTGTCGAACTCGTTTAGGTTCACTTGAACAGTCGCTGTTTCCTCCAACAGATGTCTTCTAAGCAGAAGATAAAATCAACAGCACACTTAATTCTCGCGTATCACAGTAGTACACAGTAGAATACTGAGCCAAATCAAGCAAGGAAAAAACTCTTGATGCGATGTTCAATTTTGAAATTCTGGCGGCTTCCTCTCATACAGAAGAAAAGCACAGCATACGCCAAATACACTGTGTTCATCCGAGCAAGTCGTTTGATTCACGCAGAATCCCTCTCGATCTTTGAAGACACAAGATTACAAATAGATTTTCTGCCGGTTTTTCGTCTAAGCCGGTTAAGGAAAGACACTATACATCTGTTCACGACCTCTCTATTTCACAAGTCTGGTATAAATATAAAACATAAATATCAGAGTAAGCAAAATTGGCTAGAATAAACGAATGGTAAGAACATTTGATCGATTATTTTAGTCACGAAAAGCACTAAAGCTCCAACTTGTCCATAAAAACTTCCCAATTTGATCAATTTTTACGGAGATATAAGTAATATTAGCAGCCCACATTAATGTAATCGATGAAATGGCCTCCACACAGAAATTATTCCTAGAAATTAAAGACAGCCACAAAACATTTCCTCCATACCAAAAGAATCGTCGATGTGGCGAAACGTTTTCCGTGCCTGTTTAACGAAGAGAGAAAAAGATAACTCACCTATATCGTGTAACAGAAAACCAACGACTAAAAGCTCCTTTCAGACTACTTTTCGTTTCAAGTTTTGCTTAATTGTCTGCTGTGGAGTTGAAGTTTTGAAAAGGTCGCATCCATATCCATAAATTTGCATGTTAATCAGCGGAAGTCTCGTTGATCAGGTGACCAAGTTTTACGAGAAGACGAGAGGACGAGAGGACGAAAGAAAACTAAGCAGATTTCCGGTTAAATGGTATGATAGGTACGTACCAGGGGTATAGAGAAGATGATCAACACTTTTCGTATAAAAATTAATCAGTCATAGAATTTGTTGTTTGGCTGGGTAATACTTAAGAACAACGGGAAGTTTAAATAATTTTAGCAAGCCATTACAGAAAATTGCTGGGCAACTTTTATACCGTTTAGCACACCTTTCAAGTAACTTTCAGAGAATCCCTTTTAAGAATTTGGAGCATCTTGTAGACGGTCTAAGCCTCATTTCAAAGCAGCAAACGCACATTTGAAGTCAAATTTGAGAAAAAGCGTATCCCTTGGAATGAGCACCTACTCCTATCCCCTTTTTTGCCCTTCGTCCACAGCCCCCCGACTCGCGAAGAGGCACACCCCCTCGATTTATAACGCAAAATGCTGCGTTACCAATCCACAACAGCCTCTTTTCAGCTGACTGAAGCGCAGCTTTCAACTTGAGGGATTCAAAGCTTTTGGGAAGTTGTTTATCATTGTTGCCTGCGATTGCCGCTATCGTCGCGAAACTGAACAGGTGCTTATTCGGGTGCTTATTCATCCTTATTCAAGAGGGGATGAAGTACCTTGTACTCTCTTCACCTATTATAGAGGTGGTCGCGAAGAAAGCTACAACCAGATTAAAACTTATTGAAATATTTTACATCGCAGGATACTTGATTCCATGTCGGTGATTTCGCAACAACTAGCATCCCTACCCTCTCATCGAAGGTGCTAGCGGACCAATTTACATCCTCGAACTGGGGAGAGAGGAGAATCAGTTTGCTTGGTGTATACATGTAGCCGGGTTTTACTCATGACGGATTTTAGCGCAGTTTATATTCTCTCGATTTTAGTCAGCAAAGCTGTTTTTAGAAGGAGTGGCTCAATATTTTTGTGCTGATGTATAGCCCTATTGGTTAAAATTTATTTTACAGAAAAGGTCGCCATCCAGCTCCAGGTACCAGCCTTAGAATCAACTTGATTTTGTTTAAACTAAGAGGCAAGTCTTAAGTAGATCCATATCCAGAAACTAGCAAGCCACGCTTTTTGATGATCTGTTGCATTTTCTTCTGCGACCAAACATTTTTTGATGACATCCTCCTCTAATCCAACATTTATGGCCACCTTCAAAATAGGAACGAGAACTGAAATAATTAAGGATAAGTCAAATTCACCCGAAAATTTAGCTCGAATGACATATTTTGGTTATTTCTCCTCCTACATGAATCATTTGGAGTTGAAAAGACAAAAACGTAACGTTTCTACGTTCTTGCGGTTCCGTTGAAAACCAGTGATCAAAATCTGTACCCAATTTTGAGCCAAAACGGCTCTTCCTTAGGACGGCATGTACCTAGACAGCTAGTCTCGTACCCACTCATTCCATGGTCAAGCCAGTTACAGTAACACGGTAGGATCTGGGTACGAGATTACTATACAGAGTTCCTTCCTTCTCTATCTTGGTTCAGCGTGCAGTATGCGCATGCCCCGCGCGAAAAAGAAGGCAACATACGATTGGTTGGATTTTATTTACGAAAGTATCTCCCTTTTTTACTTACAGCTGAATAATCAATTACTTTCAGGTCATAATCAAGTAATTGAGATTTGTTTTTCCGTATTTTCATAAATAAGACTATTCTTTTTTTTAGTAATTTCATATTTAATTAATATTCTTCAGAACTCTTTCGATTTGGTTACTATATATTTACAAATAATATTAACATTCTAATTACAACAAAATCTATTACAAATTGTTTTTTGGGTGTCGCAAGTCATTTCGTAAAACGCTGAGGTGCATGTTTTTTGGTAATAATAAATAATCGATAAAAATAACCTTAAAAAACCTTACTGGGTATTTCATTGATTGACAAAATCGAAATCTGTGCTAAAGACTGCAGGATTTGCTAATTATCGAGTAGAAAAGAGCGTTTCTTGATCTTAGAATACAATGCTCTCGGCCTTCTTTCAGAAAGCGCACATTAAGAGCATGACATTCAGTCAACCGATCCGAGCCTTTGGTGAAGGTGGCAAAGGGTTTTCACGTGGAGTTTGATTAATGATGGTAATAGGAACAAGTAGAGTCCAATTCGGTCTGTAATCATACCAGTGATTAACAAAATGGGACGACCGCGAAGCGGAAGCCTGATTTGTTAACCACGAGTATGATTACAGACCGAATTGGACGACACAAAGTCCTGTTACCAATTAATCATAACTGTTACAATTTCCGAAATAAATAAATACATTTAGGACGACATTCTCCGGTAGACACAATGTCTAAAGTAAAAATTTCTCCCTTTTGAAAATTCCTGTTTTTTTTTTTTTTTAAGGATCAGTGGTTGTTGCTATGGTTATTGTGATCAATTCTGTGATTGGTGGATTTAGTTGAATGGACTCAGTATGTTTGGCTGCTTCAACTGTCCGATTACAGGTGTCCGTTTACAGCCAACCGTCTGATTACACTGTCCGATTACAACTGTACATAATGATTAGTGAAAATGGAAGCAGTTAATGCAACAATCACATTTGAGGAAATTGTAATGGTTATGATTGAGCCCAATTTTCTTAATGTTCGTGCGTGAAACTGTGTCAGGATCTGTCTTTGATCGGCGGCGACTTATGCTCGTTTCGAGTCACCCAATTTTTAGACTGCTGCATAGAGCAAGAGAAAGTCAGCTTTGATTAATGCTGTTCCTCGTGCCTCAAAACACCGACTTGACTGTTCGATGCATCGTGAGCATTATCAATGCAGTACAATCTAGTTTAAAAATGGGTCAACCGAACAAAATGATTGCATTTCCTTCTCAGAATGTGAAGGGATGGAAAAGAAAAATATCTGCAAAATTGTCTTCTGGGAGATTTCTTCCTTGTTGTAAGTCTTAGCTTAAAACTTGAGAAAGCTCTAAAACGAGTCCTCGGACAAATTTTTCTTGTTTAAAACTCTGGTCTATCAACACCTATGCTCTCTATCATTTACTTTTTGTTCATTTTCTAGGGAATTTTCCTGAGGGGGCTCTTCAGAGGGCTGCATATTTCTTCATGCTGCGCGGTGATGATGACTTATATCTGCTCTGCGATGGTAAAACGCCAGTTTGACTGCTGCAGTTTATATTTGCAGGGTCGACGCTCGGAAGCAAACTGTTGAGGTTGAATGGCTGCGCCCTTCTGGCAGGAGGGACTGGGTTGAGTTGCACTCATGTGTCCGGCACGTGATTTGCTCCTCTGATTCCGATTGCCTGATCTGTTCTGGGTGTTAGACACCCATGTGATCATATCGCCGACTTTATCTGCAGATGATTTGCTTGTTTTATCCTTGCACATTTCCTTCCTTGCTACCTATTTATAGGCGCAGGCTGCTTCATTTCAAGCTTTTCGTTTTCTGAACAAGTAATAGTCCTTTCTGCTGCATGGTTAGCAAATCCATTCAACATCGACGCGTTTTTTTCCAAGACTTCTACAGGAGGAAGATCATTGTTTATCAAGTGGTTGCCGTTAATAGGCTTGCCTTTAGGAGTAGATGAAAAATTTTTTTCATTTATCTCTAAAGTAGGCTCCTCTCGGACATGAGAATGTTCCTCTTGCTCCACCGGGACTGGTGAGGGGGCTGGGGACGATCGTGGACTTGGATTGGGTGTCATTTGCACTTGCACAACCTATGTGAAATAAAAACGCCGTTTAATATTGGAAGGAATCGAAATCAGAATTTTTTCTGTTTCCACAGGCATGAGACATTCGAAAAGGAACTGTAAAGCCACGTTCAATTCACTGCAGTGCGCAAAATAAGAAAACTTTGGTTGGCAGAGTAGTCGAGGCTGACAAACTTGCGAGAAAATAAAAAGAAGGCAGTTTTCGTCTTCATTTTTTTTCTTTAAACGAATTAGATCGCACCGCAGAAGAAAAGTGTTTTGACTGGAACTTATTCGACCGAACATCTAAACATCATAACAAGTCCGACCTCAAAATATCAAGAGGCAGTTCTCGTCTTATTTTTTTCTTTAGGCTCGCACAACCTATGTGAAATAAAAGACGCAGTTTAATATTGAAAGGAATCGATACCAGAATTTATTTCTATTTTCACAGGCGTGGGACATTCGAAACGGAAATTTAGATCCACGTTCAATTCACTGCAGTAAACAAAATAGGAAAACTTTGGTTGGAAAAGTGGTCGAGGCTGGCAAACTTGCGGGAAAATGAAAAGAAGGCAGTTTTCGTCTTCATTTTTTTTCTTTAAACGAATTAGATCGCACTGCAGAAGAAAAATGTTTTGACTGGAACTTATCCGACCGAACATATAAACATCCTAACAAGTCCGACCTCAAAATAAGATGTATCTGACACATTTCAGGACTTTTATATTAATTTGCACCCAGCAGTCAAATTCGAGGCGGGAGATCTTAACTGTTGATTACTTGTGTTAGGCAGGCAAACCGAATGTGGTTATTGTTTGAATATGTCATTCTTTGTTGCAAAATGCGTCTAAAAATGGCGGTTTGGGTCAGAAAAACTAATTTCATAGTTTGATTTCCTTTCTAGCTTTTGAAATGGCACTGAGAATGTGCTGTATATCGCAAGGTGAACTTTTCTTTCCTAAGTCGCATTAAAGAGAAAGATTCCTTGGAAATGGCCCTTGCAGCTTCCATAGAACTAAAAAAATCGTTATTGAGATATTTGAACGCCAATAACAACCGTGTCGTCTCCCCCTTTTTTTCCATATCCTTCTTTTGAGAATCTCTGCTGGAACTGTTCACCAATTCTTATTTTTTTAATGTTTTGTCATTTGCAGGACAATAGTTGGCAATACAATTGTTTTTTTCAATGGTTGGCAGATTTCAGAAACCAGCAGGAACTTCGCATGGAGACAAGCCAATAGAATGATACTAATGCTAATTTGCGATAAAGGAAAACTTTTGTGAACATTGTCCAAAAATTTTAAAACTGGTTTAAATTTAAAATTTTAATAATGTATTTTTCCTTGTGAAATTACAAGTGATATAAATATGCCAAGAAAAAATGTTGCGAAAAAATAACAAATCCAAAAATTCTTACGAAGATGCCACGAAAACTTGGTGTGAACTGAAAAAGCGGTATGAATTTTATTCGTAGGCAGAGCTTTAAAATTTCACTCAAGTTTAACACCTTCAGTTTTACGACTGTGTGTTTGCTTTCCAAAGACAATTAAGGTGCCAAACTTGAAAGTCATCAGCGCATTTTGGGTTTGTTCAGCAGTATTAAGAATTTCATAAATTACTAACTCTCGACGAAATTTAGCGCGTCAAATTGCCAAAAAAACCGCAGAGTTATACAGCGTAATGATGTGCTAACACGTTTATTTACAACACACCCCAATTCCTTCTTCTGACGCAAATAATCACCAAGCTTACCCTAAAAAATCACAGGAAAATAAAGCTTTAAAATCATTTCAAAACGAGAATCTGGTACATCACGCATGCTGACCAATACTTAACCTCACTCGGTAATATTACCACGATTGAGTTTTCAGGCAGCCGAGTCAAACTATCTAAATTCTGCCATCGTCTTAAGGTATGGTATCGTCCATTTAAAGCGATGAAAAATTTAGTCGAGAGTTTTACAAATTTATACCTATATTTCAAAAGAAAGAGTAAAATATTAGTTCAAGGCAGGGGCGTATAGACGGCAAATATCATTAGAAATTGACAAGACAGTTCTTTTAAACGACTACAGCTGTCAAAAGAACACGTCACGGCAACTGAAACAACCAAGCGTAGGTAAGGAATACTTTAGACCGCATTTCGGGTCTAAGCAACGTGTTTTTAGCAACGTGTTTTAGTCTAAAAAAAGAATCGTATTTCTCTCTCGCTGTGAGTTATCATAGTGCCAACTTTCGCAAATGAAATTTTTGGAGGGCATAAACAGAATAAAATAATGAACACAAATCCAGCTTGTGCTTTTTTTTTTTTTTTTTTTTTAATCCAAAGCAACTATAGTTCTGTTTACGGCTGTTCGACAAATGTTCGCCATAGAAAGATGATCTCACAACAGTAGCTTTAAATTCGCAAAAAATTACCATTTGTAAATGACTTTTGATATTTTTGTATGAGAAACAAACTTAGGTGCTGCAAAGGCGGGAAAATTCTTTTGAAACCTCAACAAAAGAAACATATTCTTGTGTCAAACTGTAAGGCGCTGCATTGAATATTAATGTAGATCGATCTTATTTTAATTTCGGCGCACTGCGAACATAAAAACAAGCTAAATTACAGGTGCTTCTATTGAAAAAGTGGCATCGCTATATATTATTCTAAGGCGTCTTTGTTTTTTTTTAACTCGTATATCTCACATCCTTTTAAAGTCAAACAGGAATTGAAGTTCGTTTCATTGCGACTGCGACAAATCTTCCGGGTTTTTATTTTTGATGGATTCTTAGGGAAAAAAAAAGGAATAAGTCTCAAAATTAAGATTTAAAAGCAATTTAACTGTAACCCTGGTTTACAGTCGAATCTAGTTCTATGCTTCACATTTACTTAAACATCAGTCAGCATGAACAAAGGAAAACCGTGGAAGCTACAGAAAGTCATTAAAACCCATCGATCAAACTAAAACCGTGGGTTTATAAATGGTTCGCATCTCTCGTTCTTTCGGTCATCTCAACCTCAATGAAAACCAAAATAAAAACAGAAAAGAAAAAAAAAGAAACAGGGCAGAACAGAACTAAGTTAAACAAGGTATCTAGTAGTCAATTTTTATAAATTTTGAATTCTGATTTGATTTTTGTCTTTGAAGCGATAAAATTATTCACAAACTAGAATACTTACTAGTTCATTTCTGCTTCCTCTTTTTTCTGTTAAAGTATTTCTTCTCGAATTTCCTTCATCAGGAGCGACTTCCCTCTCAATTTCGTCGTGACTGTCGCTTCTGTTTTCGAATGACAATGTAGAATCCTTTCTCGGACCTTGCTCAGTCAACGCTCCCGCAGATTCGACTGGAACAACTTTATTATTAAATAACAATTTAGGTCTAGTGCAGTTTTCGAGAGATCCTTCGTTTTTCGAAATTTCCCCAGTTTGTTCAGTATTTTTAGTTAAATGTAGAATTGGCGTCGGGCCTTGAAAGTCCATATTGTCGGCAGATCGACTGCGATCTAGAACTGATCCACCACTCTCAGGTATCCCTGCTCGCATTACTGACTGTGAGTTTATTTTCGGAGGGATTCTGTCTATTTTAGGCCTGACACCGTCACCGGGGCCTGCTGGTCCCATTCCAAGTTTCCTTAAAGCTTTTGAATTCAAATTTCCAACTCTTAATGTTTCAAAAGGATCTGGCATAGCTATAAGTTTAGTTTTTTCTTCGATAACTCCACTTATTGAAACAATGACACCAGACATAACTGCCAGTCCTACAACCATATAGATGAGATTCAGAAACTCCAAAACAACGTTGGTTGCCTCGTCATCTTTTAAACCGGTACGATTCCCTGTTACAAAATCACCAAATCCAATGGTCGATAAGGTAACGAAACAAAAATAAACCGAATTCTCATAGGACCATCCTTCTAATTCGTGAAATCCAAAAGCTGGGATTATTATTATCACCAGTAGCAAAATAAAAGCTATAATGGCAGTCTTGATTTCCAGTTTATCTGATTCTCTGTTGTAAACCTTTCTTTCGAAACCTTTTATAATCGAAGAAATTTCCTCAGAAATCCGGTTACCCACGGAACGAAGAGTCAGACCCGTTAAGGGAATTCCAACTAATGCGTAGAAGATACAAAACCAACGACCCAAAGACGAAGTTGGAACTAGATGACCGTAACCTGATGAAGAGAAAAAATACAGTACAAACCCTTAGCCGGAAAAAGATGCACAACTCAACCATGCAAGTTTATTTTCAAAAACATATAAACCTTAAGTGTAATAATAGCTATACTAATGATTATAATAACACCAAGGATCATAGTAGCAGAGATAAATATAAAGTCACTTGTATGATTTGCTACCTTCTCTTCGTGTTTTGCGCCAAAAAAAACCTCGCAAAATTTAGTGCTCTCACTAACATCCCAACGTCTCGTGTTCCTTTTTCGTGCGCCTGGGCAACTGTCAGTGCCTAAACTACGTTAAGCCCCAACAAATATTTGTGTGAGAGCGACATATAAGTTAAATACAGATCCATTTTAAATCCAACGAAGTTGTTATTAATTTGTTCGGGCTATCAACGCGTCAAAGTTGTGATTATAATTATCGAGAGTTCACTCAAAAACCACGGTTGAAGTTTGGAAATTTGTTTTTCCCGCCAGTTCTACTGCCAGTTTCACTTAATATCCAGGCCCAGGATCTTAAAACTAGACGCCTAAAAATTGCTCTAGTTGATTACAACACATTAGCATTCGAGCTAAGCAATACTTAACCTCCACATATGTTGTTTATCTAAAGCATTTGAGTGCTTTGTTGCGGCAAATGACCGCAGTGCGTTTTGCGGCTAGAATCTGCGAGGCGGGTTGAATGAAAACAAAGATATCGAAAACAGACTGTGTTAGCTCGATAAAGTGATCATCTTCGTTCCTTAAAATGACATGAGGATTGTTAATTTAGAAGCATAAATCATGAGCGGCTTTAGCCGTTGTCTAGTAAATGTAAATGTTTGAGGTTTAAATAGTAGGGACATTTCTATACCCTTTCGCGTCTTTACAAATGCTTTTGTAATACTTCCGATAAAATTGGCTTGCGTAATACCTTATAATATTACCTACATACACAATTAATCGAAGAGAAATGACAGAACCAAAAACAAAGTTCTGATAGACACATAATTATGAAAGAGTGTTCTACATCGTAGCATCATTTTTAAGGATTGTTTATTTCCTCGTACTACACGATGGAATGGAACAAGCAGATAAAGCAGCCAATAAATCCCTGCTGTAAAAATTCTAAGAGGTTTATGCTTGGGCAGCCAATTTAAGCATATTGTTATTACATTTTCAGGGATGAATAAGACCAAATATTCGTTCTCGACGTGGAAGATTGAGTTTCCTCTCTTATTTGGCTGATTATTCTTCAATGTTATAAATTTCTTCGAGTGCTGCTGGCTGCGTTTTCCTCGGCACATTTAAAGCCTTGAAAAATTTAAATATTAAACAATCATTGGACACAGCTGCCTCTGATGAGACGAAGCCAAAATTGACCGAATCTGTAATGTCTAAGCATCACTACGACTTCTTTGAATTCATGCGAAACTCTGTCGAAAACAAGTACGAATCGTGCTCTAAACATAACACATCAGCGATCTAAGAGCTACCTGCAACAGAGGCGCAAAGATAAATAGCGATTTTGGCTTGCTAATGCTCTAAGTCGCTCTTATAGAGCTATCATTTCACGCGCGCTGTTAGCTGTTGCTAGGGCTCATAATGCGTAAGTCGTATTGCGCGGATTTCAAGCCAGCGAAGAATTACGCCGCGCTCCGCGCAAAATCTACTCTATTGTTACTTCAATCGCCTTTAGTTAACAGCTTTTAAAGATTTACTTACCTATAGTAGTAACTACATTCCCAGCGAAGACAAATGCATTCATAAAATGCCACTGTTCTTCCTCAGGAAATTCTCCCGTCTGCAAATCGAAACCCAGCTCTATAGCTTTCTTTAGTTTCCTAAGGAACTCGTTCATTTCACTCTCGCTAATGTTGTGCTTGGTGAGAAACTTTGTCTTGATGTCCTCGAACGGAAAATTCGCTCGTTCTTTCTTCTCGTTGCGAAGTTCGATCGCTTGAAAAATTGCAGCTCCAACGAGAAGGTAGACGAGAAATAACACAATCCGTATAATCAGCTTCTTTGTATTTTGACTTAATGCCATAATTAAGCCGGAGTAACATAGGGAAAAGAAGTGGAGGAAAGCATACAAACTTTAGTGCGATTTCACATCGTCGGAAAGTCCTCGGAGTCCGCTAGGAGCATGGCCGAGCGTCGCGAAGGCAAGAAAAACACGTTATAACAATATGTTTCGCCGCCGCTAGATTACTCGCTGTTTGGTTGGTAGGCTTGACAATATGGCTTGCACCGAAGACGTTACTACCTTCAACACCTGTTCTAAGAGCATGCGCAGTTGAAATCCACTACAGCGGCAAGCCTTCATTAAAGTTGGATCACTAATTATTGAAAGTTAGTGGATAGAAAACCGTTCATTGAAAAGCCCTCCTGTGAGCTGCAGTATGGACTAACATCTATAAACCATTTTTTGTTGTTGTTTTTTCGGTTTTCCTTTCCAGAACATACGCGGGAAGGAAATTTACTCAAAAATTCCCGGCACGCATTTAAGAGATAAAATTTTCCTCTCGTGCTGTCACAAAATGAAAGCTGGTGTGACGTCATCTTTATTTTGCTGTGAATATTGCATTGACAATAGAGCTTTTCCGGTATAGCGTTTTTCCCCCTAGCTCTGAGCTCACTCGCTTATCAAAGTCAACACACAGCCCCAAACTCATAAGAACATTGTCCGAGCCCCAGTTTTTGTTGCTCTCTTTAGGTTAAAAAATTTGACGTTTTTCGTCACGTAGCCTCAGCTCCATGATGTTAAACGCGAAAAGTTCAGTGTGTTGCGGAAAAGAGAAGAACTGTCAATTTTATCTAATGAAACTCTACACGGATCTTTATTTTTAACCATGATATTTTTAACGGTCGTAACAGATTTAACCGATTCAAGCATACTGTCAGTGAAGGCACAACTGTACGTCGATCGAAGAATAACCCAAAAAAATAAATTTGCCACGCGTTTTTCGTGTTCTCACTAATGAATACTCGATAACTTTTGAACTCAACTGATATCAGGTACACGAAGTATTCTTTGTATGTTTTCAAGTCTAGATGAAGGAAGAAAGACTGCTGCTCAATTATACGGTGAAGAATTTCCAGAAGGTTAAATGAATCCTCAGCTACAATAGAAAAGAGAAAAACCTTTGCATAATTTATGTTCTTCTTGTAATTTTCAAGCGGACTATTTTGGCTCGTTAAGCCAAAATTCTACAGACTAACAAAGGGTGTGTGCATTTTCGCCACATAAGATGGCGCCATGTATTTGTATTTCAATTGAAAGCATGCCGAGGGTAACTTATTTCTCTTAATCAAGATAACCCGGTGTCTCGCTATTACTCGGACTGTGACCATTAAAACCAGCTTAAAAAAAAGTGGAGGTTTCGAATATGAATCACCTCATTGTTCATTCGCGTTGTCTACGCTCGCAACAATAACATTTAGACATTGCCATGGCAATCGCAGGAAAACGATGCCATTTTTTTTTATTGAATAATGGCAGGAAACACATAAATGTTAAATTGATCTGACAAAACTCATTACCAGTTGCGGTGAATTTAAGATGCAAATCGTGTTTTTCGCTTTCTCGTGTTCTAATATTTAGCTATCCTACGTCACGTTTCAAAACGTGAATGTTATACCATACAATAACTAGGGGATCTTATTGAACAGACCACCAGACAACTGCTTTTATCCTCGAACATCAGTACTTTAAGAGAAAGTTTCTTTATTTTGTCGATATATTGCTCGAATTCAGTTAAATTTAAAATTTTAAAATTTTATGTTTTCTGAGCAATTCTTAACTATGAGTCAGTAAGTACCTTTGACGTGTGTTAATTGCAATAGATGGTTACTCATCATTCGTTATCGAGATGGCTTATGTCATATCGTCATTTATTATATTATTTAGTATCCTTGACATTTTTGAGAACGTTATGGAAAAAGTTGAAAAAAAAATCCAAATGCTAGCAAGCAATAAAATGGCAGTTTTTTTTTAATATGAAATAAATGCGTTTCATAATGACTGTGACAGCTTCCTTTGATTTGGAAACATCATGCTCCACGCAAGAAAATTGACAAGTTTGGCGTCATGGTATCAAATAAACTTCAGTTTTGACGACTCAAGTCACCCCTTGCGCCACGGAAAAAGCACGCTACTTGTTAAATTTACATTTTAATTTGAAAAGCGGGTATACAGAGCAGACCAGAGTGGTAACATTATCAATTATTAAAGGTTATTCGCCTATTCGCCCAACAAAATTAAAAACAAGTCTGTTTTGTCATCCGTTTTTATTTTCTTCCGAAATTACTAAATTTGTCAAGAAAACATTTTTGAGGAACATGATTATCTATAATTTTTTTGAGGTATTCAAAATTCCTCAGTTTTTTTAAAATTTTTTTTCTCTGTTTCATTGTGTTTGAAATTCAAGCACGGAAATTATTCAACTCTTTCCTTAATATCATGACTGATCAAAGATAGCCTCCACCTTAGGGTTCTACGTTTCCGCTAAGATAGAAAAAAATTTCTTTAGCGAAGCAAACGGCTGGCAGTTTTCATAAGTAAAGCAGATCTTGAAATACGGGTTTCCCCACCACCCTTTGAGATGTAAATATAAAAGATATGAAAGTGTGTATGTTTAAAATTTACGTCCTCCACGCTTGCCACGTACTGTCGACATGCGCAATGATACTCCTTCGTCTCATTCTCTGTGAGGGTGCAAGGCACCAAGAGCCCAGCGGAGGCTTCCCTGGGGAATCTTCGAAAGGATGCTCCGTGGGAAATACATTTGATCAATTGAAGACCTACTGAACCTTTGTTAATTCGATTGAAATTTGGGTATTGTGGCTCGAGCCACGATTAAGATCGATTTGATATTCGTTAGCCTAAGAAAGGACTGGCTGTCTTACTACGTTAAGATTTTTAGTATTTGAATCAAAACTCTGTGACATTTGCAATTGAGATGCTATGCTCTCTACTAGGGGGAAAACGTCCGGCGGAGAAAAAAACCCGGAGAACTATTCCCCGATGTGCGCGTCTAAGAAGGTAAAGAGAGACACGCCGCCTTTCCCCCTTACATGGTTTTAACCAATATCTTCTCTGACTGGCATTGATAGATTACTACGATCAATAACGCCATTAACTTCTCCTAATCAAGACAATTTGTCACTCTTTTGTTTCTACAAACTATTTGCTGCATGAAACTTGCTCTCCTCGTATAAGAGGAAAATCATTAGGCACCACTAAGCAGCTATTTTTGCTAAAATTGTGGTACTTATTGCCAGCTGCAGACAAGTTTTGTTATTTTTGTTAGATCAAATACAACTTACTGTCGTGCATAACGATCCATAACGAGAGTCACTGCACGTACCATATTTATGTCTCACGTTCATCGCTTACATTTCCGTGATGTAATGTGAAACGAATATCAATTGCAGTTTGGTAAAATGATTCCGTGAGACGTACGTGCGCAATATTGAAGGCTAACCGGCATGAATAACTCACGTCTTCTTTTTGGTAAGCATACGTTAATATCATTTTTTTTGTACTGAAAACTAAAATTTAAAGTCACGTTATAGAAAGGTGATTCAGAACTTAAGCAAGATATTTTAAAAACCTAAGGCTTTAAAAATGAAGATGATCAAGTTATACGGCAGCCACTGTATATACATTTAGGTGGCAACTGAGGTGTTGAGATGCTCTCTCTCTCTGCAAAAGAAAAAAAAAACACTAAAAAGGCATTTTCGCTAAAATGCTAAAAGGCATTTTCGCTAAAGCAGCAACTCATGAGTGTACTCTAATTGTTCCACTTTATTCTCTCCACGTAAGAACCTTGAAAGACGTCTTAAAAGCTTCGCTTTGTGGACGAGACTTAACAAAGCCGAAGCAGCTGTTCATTTTTTACTTACTCGACGGAGATGTCACCATCAATAATGCCTTTGAGTGACTTTTCTGGTTGCATCTGATGCATGACAGAGACTATTGTTGTTATTTTAAATTATGTTAATCCTGATGCTGTATTTTTTATTACCACGAAAAGTTTTATAATGAGATTAACGTTATTTCCCTTTGAAGTCATGAATAGAAATGTTCACTATTGCAATACTAGTTGTGACGTGAATAAAGGGGTAAGTAAGGGTAAGTAAAGAAACTGTGATGCTGCGTCGGTGGGAGAGTATAGCTGATAATTAGTGTTAACAACTGAGTTGAAAATGTAAATTGGCCACCGTGAAGGGTAAAAAAGCTGACGTGTGACGTGAACTTGTCTTTCGACGAATTTCGAAAACCCGCGCAAATTCCTCAATGTGTCGGAGAAACTGAAGTCATTGCTAAGTTGAAGGCGTGGAACTATATCTTTTTAAGGCTAACTACATTGTAAATCTTCGTCATCACGTCAGAATGTAAATACAAGTGGGAGCTGGGAGAGAGCTTGCCTCCCACCGCTGTGGCCTCGGTTCGATTCCCGAACTTGGGGATGTTTCTCGAAGGTTCCCGTAAAGCTATTCTGTTTTCCTTCAAGATGATAATAAAACTATAAGCTAAAGAAAGGAAATGGACTGATTAGGGTGCCAGAACCTGCCTTTCTAATCTTTGAATTTTGATTTCAAAATATGGCTTCGGGCCTGATAAGCTACCGTAACTTTTGAGAAACGGGCCACTGGCGTCACCTGTGGGGTTTGTTGTTGGTTCTCTTTCTCGATTCTCGCTCAGAGGGTCTCTCCCCAGGTCCTCTGGTTTTCCTCCCTCCATAATCAGAACCAATATTCCAAATTTAAAATCGACCTGGAGACAGTGGACAGTGCTAAATTTCCATGATTATCATTATAATTATTATTGTTACAAGAGAGAACCTATTATTTCGGCATGAAAGTTGAATTTGCTATCATTATTTATACTATCATAATTATCAGATTATCATGGTTATAATTATTACGGTTATCTTTATTTATTCGAATGAGATCTATCGAATGTATGTTATTTACTCCTTCTCTTTACAAGAAAAAATTGTTTTTGAAATTGAATTTTCTTCAAAAGTTCAGAATTCTTCACTACAGTAAAGAAGACCCTGAAATGAAATGGGCCTTTCTCATGTTAAAAAACCCCACTGTCACTTAATTGAGACAAAGAATATTATTCGCATAAGAACTAAAATTGAATATTTTAATTAGATCCTAGGCTTTGCACTTCACACTGATGGATTGGACATCTCTGAAATGCATATTTTT